TCCGCCGTTGCACGTGACAGGGTGATTTCCCAGGTCACCGATGCATCCCCCAGAGGGTGAGATCCACACCCCCAGGACTCTTTCCGCTTCGTTCGACCGTACCCATTTGAAAGCTGACGCCTTGTCTGGTTTCTTGCGCAGGTTCTTTCCCAGGGGCAGGAGTGCAGACTTGTCGTTGTTTACCCGAAGACCTGACTTCTCACCGAACTCATTCAGCAGCTTCACCGCCCGGCCAATCTGCCTCTTCCCTTTGAGCACCAGCGTGGTGTCGTCGGCGTACCCCAGGTACGCAAGCCGATCCCCGTACGGATTACTGATTCCCAGTTTCCTCCTTATTGCTTCCTGGCAGAGGGGCTCCACCGCGCAAAGGAAGAGATAGGGTGCCAGCGGGCAGCCCTGCCGTACGCCCTTCCTGACCGCCACCGGTTCTCCCAGCCAACCATTCAGCAACAGCCTCGTTGTCGATCCAGCATGGAGCCCTTCGCACCACTGTACGAACTTCCGCGGGAAACCCATCCTCGCCATCGTGCCGAAAAGGTATTCCCGAGAGACCGAGTCGAAAGCCTTCTGGAAGTCCACCAGAAGCAAGTACCAATCCGCGTCTTTGCACTTCGCCGCGTCAACGATGTCCGCAACCAGCGAAACCCCGTCAGCCAGCCTTCTCCCTGATAAGAACCCAAACTGTTCCTCCGAAATGACCGTATGCAACACTTTCCGCATCCTGTTCGCCAGCACCCGCGCTACTAACTTGTACGTGCTATTGAGCAGCGTGATCGGCCGGTAGTTTTGCACTTGATCCTTCGCGCCCTTCTTGTGCAGCAGGACAGTGACAGCCTCCAAGGCAGCAGGAGGAAGAACGGCCGTTTCCTCAAACTGCTTCGCGAATCCGAGCACATCACCCCCTAGCGAGTCCCAGTGTTGGCTGAAAAACTCCTTCGGGATTCCGTCAGCGCCGGGAGACTTGCCCTTCGCCATGCCGTCAAGGGCCTCCTTCACCTCCGCTTCAGACCAGTCCGCTACCAACAGCTGCGATTGCGCCTCACCCAGCTTCTTGCCAGGAGCGACCGGCCAAAACGTGCTGTCCGCAGTCGGGGTAGGTTCCGAGAACAGCTCCGCGTAGAACTTGGAGGCAGCTTCTAGTATCCCGCACGAGTCATTCCGCACTGTCCCCTTCCATTGCAGCGATGTAATCATTGTCCTCTCCTTCCGTGTTTTGACCTTTGCAGACATGAGCTTGCCAGGCAACTCCCCTTCACGCAGCTCCTTGACCCCGGCCATGAGCGTGACCCTCTCCTGTTCCGAGGCGAGGTATGCCGCCAGCTGGGACTCCTTGACCTTCAGCTCCTCCTTCCGGGCGGAGCAGTAGGGGTTTCTCATCACCTCCTGCTGCAAAACCGCAACCGCCTCATCCAGGTGAGTCAGGGTAGCTTTGACCCGCTTCCGTTCCTCAGCAGAGTACTTCCTCAATGCCATATTCATTTTCCTCATGAGCGCAGTGAAATCGCCTGACCCCGCTTTACCGTGCTCCTCGCAGATCGCAGCAACCGCTTTCACCGCACCCGGCCTTCCAATTTTTGCCGCCTTGCACCTCCATATTCCAGGCCCCATGCATAACTGCAGGCTGATTTTGAAGGTCACCTTCACCCCGAACCAGTGGTCTGAGAGACCCTTCAGCGGCCGACAGTGCGATGCCTCAGAGAGCGACGTCAACAGCGGCGCCGAGACAAGGGCCCGGTCAATGCGTGAGCTGGTCTTGGCAGACCTAGACATAAAGGTAAACTCCTTCAGCACCGGGTTCATCCAGCGAAAAGCGTCGGTGAGGCAGTGCGCTGAGCATATCCGCAACACGCTGCCATTCTCTCCTGACGAGCCCGCACCAGACGATCTATCCAGTAGAGGATCCTCCACCATGTTAAGATCTCCGATCAAAAGAAAATTCCTCCTCCCCATAGAGTGCGCCATAAAAGGAGCAAGCACCCCATCGTAAAACGGGCGACGCCTGCAAGCTTTCGCAGGAAAGTAAGCAGCCAGGATCGTGCAGTGGAAAGAGTCCCACTGAACATCAGCCTGAAGCAAACGACCCGAGCTGTGAGTGACAATGTTAGTGAAAACAAGAGACTTGTTGAAACTTAAGATGGCAACCCCTCCTGCCTTCCCCGCAGGACCGATCGCATGACAATGGGGGACTTTGAGCTTCTTCCAGAAATCGTGGTCAGCACCAATCCGTGTGTCAGCCAAAACGAAGATATCAGGTGGCTTCTTTAGCCATGCCTTCAGATGCTTCTGCTTCCCTCTGCTCCCGAGCCCGTTGACATTGAGCTCGCGTATCGACAGGTAAGAAGCTTTATTCATTGGGAAACCGCCGAGAAGCCCCAAGCATCCACGGGCTGAGCGAGACACGAACCACAGTTTTATAAAGGAACAGTACAAACACAGGGGATACTAACATGCAGCTTTCGCCTCTCCTTCCTCCTTCTACAACCCATAATCCTTCTTCAGGTGCTTGAGGTTGATCTTCCCCTTCAACAACCGGAGTGACTCTCCACCTTTCGGGGCCCCATGGCGGTGCCGCTGGGACAACGCGTGATGCGCTGCCTGTTCGAACGACGAACCATGAGCTTTCTCGCAACTGTCCTGAAGACAAACCCACTCCTCCCGATTTCCACTGGTGGAGATAAGTACCAGGGACGGGTCCTTGAGGATAATCTTGGTCGCATCTGATGCAGTGGTCGCAGCAGCTGCGCAGCAACGATGTGAGAACTCGGGAAGAAAGGCAAGTGGAAAACGACAGTGAAACGCGCGAAATTCCATCAGCGACAACGCAAACAACGCAGCTACCATTCAGCTCATGGACCCTCCCAATGGTAAGGTGCCATTTGGTGATGTTGTTGTGACGCTCGACGACGAAGTCGTTGTGGTTGTGGATCGAGTGATGACCACCGCACAGACTGCACTTCAACGCCGGGTAGTGGATCAGCAGAATCTCGTCCTTGTTGAGCGGACTTTCAATGTAGTGCTTCCACCGGTACAGATCACCCTCGTGAGCAACCACCAGTCCCTTGATCCGATCCGTATCCAAGCCAGTCACTGAGTTGACCGCACGATGAAAGCAAAGACCTTTCTTAAACACCGACTTCTTCTTCTTCTTGAGCGGAGCCATCAGCATCCCATGCAGCATTGCAGGTGAGATCTCAGCAGGGACCTCCTTGAAATAGAGCTCAATCACTGCAGGGTTCGTCGCCTTCTGCCTGGCGAAAGCGGGATCTTCCGGATACTGCCAGTCAAAGGTAACGTAAATCCCATTCTTGCACTTATGTTCGACCTGATTACGCCACACAAAATTTGCGTCAGATGCCTTGTCAAAAGTAACTTGCATGCGACCGTAATACTTCTTGTACAGGAAACCGGACGTCAGCTGCTGGTACGTCGTGGTGACCTGGGCCCCATCAGACAGCTCATCCTTCCAAAACCCCACCAATCCCTTGATCGTTGCCTGTGTGCGAGGTACTTCCAACAAAAACTCTTCAGGGATCAGAAGGGTGATCGGGTAGCGGGAACGTGACGCGATCTCTCCCTTTGACGCTTCCTCGACCTCTTCGTCAGAATCATAGGCAATAAGCCCGTCGTCCTCATCGTTAAGCAGGTGGGTAACCCCCGATGGTCCCGAGCCATCGTCAACATTGTCGCGTGAAACATTGTCCTCATCGTCGTCATGAGAAACATCTTCTCCTTCTGGTGCAGCGTCAGAAACAGCATCTTTGAAAATGACTTTCTCCTTACCCTTCTTGCTATCATTCGCAGCTTCCTCAATGCGGATGGCTGCGAGCTTCGCCGAGAGGGTAAGAGCTTCAGATTCATCAGGCTGAAAGGGTCCCTTGGATGCCTTCATGGCGGTAGCGGACTTAAGAGGAAGTCTCGACATGGACTTCGGCTTGGCTGGAGTCGTCGCCGGCGGAGCAGAAGAGGTAGCAGAAACCAGCGGAACCCCAGCAGTGGACGAGGCAGCAGCCGCAGCAGCAGCGGTAGCCGCGGTGACAGCAGCAGCAGCAGCCTTCTTAACTCGAGGAGCCATCGTGCAATGATGATAGAACAGCCACCAGAGCCAGTGCAGTACTTGAGAATAATAAAAACTGAGCACGAACTGGACGTCCTTTGTAGTTGTAGCAATGCCTGCATGCTGATGCCTGGTGGAAGCCTTGAAAGTAGCTTGGAACCTTGGAAATGCCATGTTGAAATAACCTCGCACGGAAATCCCGAAACCATGACTTCTGCTCGTCTTCAGGGGATAGGGACGAATGTTCTCTGTTTGAACATTTAAAAAATATCCTCTGATACCCTGAGAGAAGACGATCTCAATGGTTATGTTATTAGCGGGAATGTCGTACAATAGGTGGTACATTGGCGAGTTCCAGGGTCTCGGTAGAATCCATGGCTGCCGTGAGGCGGAGAGCATTGTCATTGTCATTGTCAGCGCCTGATGGAACGGTTTGAAATTTTCCCCACCATTTGCCGGTGGGCAACAGAACAGGGCCCTACTGGCGTGTGCCAGATTATGAAACCAAGTATGTTACAAGCGTTCTCGAAGTATTTTATCAACAAATATGTTAGTGTGCACTAATGGAAATTCTGCAGCTCGAACCTGATTATGCAGGTTCCTTCAATGATACCTGATTATAAAACCATTGTGTTTGTATTTTCATTTTTGAGGAAATTTGAAACAAAAAATCTTTGTTGGCATGTAAAAACATAGCAATCGCTCCATTGCAATTGCCAAAATATTGCAGGATTCGCATGTTGCAATACTAAACCTGAACTAAATAAATACATCGCTAAATCATAGTAAAGAGACATTTTCTTGCTTATCGTGGTCCACCGCAGCATGCATTATGTTGGGAATTGCCCTTGCTACTGGTCTCTCGGACAATTTAGTGCAGCAATTTTAACAATCCATTGAGCATTGCTGCTACCTCTTACAAATAAGTCGAACAGTAACCTTCGGCCTAGAACCCACCATGTGTTGCCACGTGCTCAACCTCTTCCGCTGTGCTCTCCCTCCCCAGCACCTCGTTGCGGTGAGGGAACCGGCCAAACTTGACAATGATGTCACGGTGCTTGTGAGCGAAGCCCACCCACCCGGACAGGGAGTCCTTGAGTGGGCCTTCTGGTGCCTCTGCTACCGACTCCGACAGCAGCTGCACACACAGGTCTTGGTCTGCTAGGTCTGGTGGTGGGGGAAGGAGGGTGAACGGTAAGATAAGAGTTACTGAATGTAAAAAAGTAGACACTTGGGAATTTCATCTGGTGCCTCTGCTACTGACTCTGACAGCAGCTGCACACACAGGTCTTGGTCTGGTAGGTCTGGTGGTGGGGGAAGGGTAGGGTGAAAGGGAAGATGCAGGTTACTGAATGTCCAAGAAGTGAACACTCTGGTGCCTCTGCTACCGACTCCGACAGCAGCTGCACACACAGGTCTTGGTCTGCTAGGTCTGGTGAGTGAGGAGGGGGAGGGAGGGCGGAATAAAAGGGAAGATGTGAGATACTGTATGAGGACAGGGAGTCCTTGAGTGGGCCTTCTGGTGCCTCTGCTACCGACTCCGACAGCAGCTGCATACACAGGTCTGGGAAGAGGGAAGGGTGAAAGGGGTGAACGGGAAGATGCAGGTTACTGAATGTCCAAGAAGTAAACACTCTGGTGCCTCTGCTACTGACTCTGACAGCAGCAGCACACACAGGTCTTGGTCCGGTAGGTCTGGTGAGTGAGGAAGGGGAAAGGGGGGAAATGAAAGGGAAGATGTGAGTTACTACTGTATGACAAACAAAAGAACACTCGAAGAGAGTGCCTAATGATTCAGCTGCTGACTCTGATAGCAGCTGCACACAGAGGTCTTGTTCTGCTAGGTATGATGGGGGAAAACGACACTTGCAGCTGGAAGTTTGAGAATCGGGCATCAAACTGGAATGGATTCCAACCATCTGAGCTGTTCAAAAGCGACCTGATCAGCTCTCCCTAAAAAACATATGTTTCAAAATGGGTTCAAAAACAGTAAACCGCCTGAATTAAGTTTGTATTCAAAGAGCATCTAAAATTGACCTACCTTCTGAATGCATGAATGGCAGGTAGAAAAACGACCGAATACGAAGGTGAAATTGCTTGTAAAATCCCTTGGCTATGGCCCTGCATTGCACGTAACAATCCATCTCTTGGTGAGGACAAGAGGATGCATAAAAACACGGGACTTCCACAAAAACTCCAGGGTCACGAACAAAAAAGAGGAGTAGAAGCACATCAGCAATAAATCTCGTTCGACATGAGAGCTGGATACGGACATGAGAAGTTATTTGCTTAAATAACCTAAAAAGTGACGGCAAGTTTAAAGTCACGAGCTGTTGGGAAGAGAAGGAGTAGAGAGCCAGATGTGACTGCACAGCAGGGTGCTCTAGAGGTGCAATTACATAGGGACTAGATTCAGTCACCTTTTTGCGACTTCACGGGCCAATGCGTCCTGTAGCAGGATGGCAAGATGTGTGGGCGGATACAAAAAAATAGAATTTTGGAAAATTAGACTCAGCCCACGAATAGCCCTGAAGAGGGAATTCAAAGGAGGGAGGAGGAAGGCTATCGGGAAGCAAGAGAAGTATAGAGCCGAGATAATAAAGGACTATATGTATGATCGTAGTGGACGTTTGAGGTGCATTCAGCAGAGAATAGTGAGGCTCTTGAGGGTTCAACGACGGCAGTCAGTTACAGAGTGATGGAGTGGGTGAGCCGTACACGAGGAGTCTGCAGTGACGTGGACATTGATTGGGAAATGTGACGTCAGCATTCACCTGAGCAAAGGAGTCAGGCGATCCCCTGAGGCTGTTCCTAGTGAACTGGTCCAGCAGCACGACCAATGCCAGCGCGCCACGTGGCGTGTCCTCCCAGCCTGCCAGCTGGCCTGACGCCGCGAGTGGGATGAGGGGAGCGAATCTGGCACGGATAAAAGCGTCCACGTCAGCATCTTTGCGGAACCAAAGGGATTGCTTGGCTGCCACGACATCGTCTTCTGGTGCTGGGCCCTGCAAAGGAGCGATAAGAGAGTTGGAAACACAAGAAAATGCCAGGCTTGAAAAGGGGGGTTTGGGATGTTATTCGGGAAAGCCAGCTCAAGGTAAATAAATGCCAGACTCAATGAGGGTTTTTGTTACTGACACCTCTCACAGAATAGTCAGGTGCCATGAAGTGACTTTTGAACGGACTAAAAAACCACTTCAAATTTAGACTGCCAGTTTCTCATAGCATTGTCAGTTCGATTGTAAGAATTCTCCGAAACCAACTCACAGAATAATCAGGCGCCATGAAGTCGCCGAACCAGTACACGAGAATCTCGTCAGCTGCTTTGTCCACGTCAGCAGGCGTCACGCCGATGCTGCTCGTTGCGACAGGACCGTCGGAAGCCATTGCTGCCGCCGCTGTGGCTGTAAAGTGTCGGAGTTGGTTACGACCAGCACTAAAACAAGAAACAGGAAGTTCTCGGTGAGCGACAGGCGTGGTCTTCGACCCTGAGCAAAGGTGCTTCCTGGTGCTACTGCTGTTGCTGCTGGTAACCCTGTAACTGCTAATGTTGGATCTTGACAGTCCAATCGATTTTCCTGTATGCGACTGTGCTGTGACAGAATAATGTAGACGGGAAGGCACTCGTTGAGGCCTCTCAATGTCGGGTTTCTTCAACGAATCTTGGCACGAGAAACGGAATTGCGAGAGAGGAAGAGCCGAGGCTTGTCGAGCTCTCGAGAGAAGCGAGGCCTCGAGTCTGACGGCGAGCATCGGGAAATAACGGCCGCTTTCGATTAAACGACTCTTCCCGAACCAGCGACTCGTCTCGGCCTTTCGACAGAGGCGTTCTATGGGCCTGCGACAAGACAAGACTTTCAAATCGAAGCCTGTTTTGCCTTTTTTCTTGCAGATTCCAAAACGTTTCTCGGCATCGCAGGGCTCTTGGAGTTTGGAATAATGGTTGGACCGCATCGGAAACTGCAGTACTGTAGCTTCACCGTTTCAGACCGCTCTCCTCAGATCTCTGAACACACCGTGGAAAATTGTTCTCGAGATTCTCGTTCTCCGAAGCAAGAGTGCCACGAAGGCAAATTGGCATTTCCTCGCCTAACCGTGGATACAAACTGCCTCGCGCACGGTACAGTTCGGTTGCTGCACATGGCATGGAATTATATGCTGAAATAATCTAAATCCTGATAGGAGCTTTATGTGTTGGTATTTCCTCTAAGTCGGCTGTGTGCATGATACTATTACATTTCATATATCCATGTGAACTAGATCCCGACCAAAGGCAGTTGCCGACGTGTAGCAACAAGCTCTTCCCTTCCCACCAACCAATGCTATTGGGGCTCAGCAGCAGTTTCAGCTCCTTCCTCGTCCTCTGCGTTTGAAACACACACCCATCACAGCCATGCCATAAAGAGTATCAGAAGCAGAGCACGATAGCTTCCGCTGTTTTCATATATCAATGAAATATGGTACAGTACATACATCAGGTAATGGCTGACATCTGGAAGAAGTGCAGTCATGTCGATTCATAAGTCATGGTGGAGAATATGGAAGGTGGAATGGCATGATGTATGTATGCAGAGTATATTGGGTGAGAGTACATGCGAGAAAGAGGGAGAGGGAGAGAGAGGGAGAGGGGGAGGGAGGGAGGGAGAGAAAGAGAGAAATAGAGAGAGAGAGAGAGAGAGAGAGAGAGAGAGAGAGAGAGAGAGAGAGGTGGAAAAGAATGGGAGGGAGACATTTAACTACCATGATCCTTGTGGGCTTCAACATCCTTGGGCGAAGTCAATGGTTTTAGCTCCTCTCGTTTGGACGACCCTCCTCCCCCACCACCACGGTAGTTTTGCTTCACAGTAGATTGCTGGTACATCACTCCACCAACGATTGTAATGAACAGACAGAGAACTCCAAACGGGGAAGCGTGCTTATCCCATATCATCACGTTGATGACGACAGTCAGCAGCTTGTTCGTCACACCAAGTACAGTAAACGCCGTGGCTGAAATCGCTTTTCTGCAGGCGAAACCGAAGAAGCTTATAGCGAGGCCGAACGCGCATGACAGAAGCACGGGAAAGACGATGCCGAATTCCCACGAGGCCGTGCTCGCGGCTTTAATCGTCTCGCGAAATTCGCCCGTGATCATCCAGAAAACGGGAGCCATGAGGAGGGAGAGGAAGTTGTTGTAAAGGACGAAACCCCAGGTGTTCAGTCCCAGGCTGGTGACTATATGCTTGATGTACACCATCTCGAATGTGATTGTAAAGAGGTAAGCGAAGGCCCAGGTGTAAGCTCGGACGGTGTACTGGCTGTCAGTAAACACGTACCCTACCGCTCCCACTAGAATCACCACCAGCGCTCCGAGAGTGTAAGGCCCTGGCCATGGCTGCTTCCTGAATAAGTAATCCGCGAACGCGACGAGGAGAGGCGTGGAGGATCGGAAGATGATAAAGGTGTCGACATTCGCGTAGCGAAGCAGCGACGTGTTGGTGAAAATCGCCATGTAGAAAACGAAAGCGGCCGGAATGAACTTTTTTATCATGTCCCATCGGATCGGGTCGTGGACCAGGAGTTTAAATTGCCCGGATGTGACGACGGCGACGACGCATGTGAGGTATTGGAGAGAGGTTAGGAGGCTGGGGTAAGGGAAAACGCCGATGGCGAATTTGTTGATGATTGCGAGGAGGCTGGAGCAAAGAGCGTAACCGACGGCTAGCGGGAGAGCGGTCAGGTCGCCTAAGTTGATGTTGACGCCGAAAAGCTTGACGCTCGTGTTCTCCTTGTACCACGGCGCCATTGCTGACGTGTCAACAGTTGAGCAATTAGTGCGTTACTGGCTGATCGACGGACCGAGACTAGCAAACACTGTCGCTACCATGAACGGGATCTAATACAGTGGCAGCACGAATCAATGAACATTGAAGGACCTCCATAAATTATGCGCACGAAGCAAGCTTCAAGTCGTAGACAAAGAACATGGGAATGGCGCGATGCTTAGGAGATCGATCATATGTTAGGTGGAGGGGAGCATCTGATAGGGGCTGGTGGTGAGAGAAGAGGCATAGTGCAGAGATCAGGGGTGTGCTGTGGGTAATGGTTTTCCACACGGTAAAAATCGGTCGTGGCGAATCCGTGCTGGACATTTCCTGTGTGGTATTTTAATCAGAGAGCGGTTTGGTATGGTTTGGTCTGGTGTGAGTAGTATCAGGCTGGAATTGCAAATTTGCATTATATGCTACAATAGACCACCATAATCCACAAATGAAATGTGCTGAAGCTTGTAATGGAGCAAGCAGAAACGAATTTGGAGGCAAGGGGGGATGATCCGTGCTTGATGCCTGTCGGTTAGTCCCTCGGGATTTGGTTCCTGGAAAGTTTCTATTATGGTTGCAGGCTTGTGTGTTTGAACTAGCATCAGTTTTACCTACATTCCATATTTTCCTTGAGATAAATTATGGCGGTCGACTCGCAAGAAGCCATCCGCCTGGCGTTCCTTCTCGAGCCAGGCCACAGCGTCAGCAGTACGAATGGTTTCGATTATCTTGGCACGCGACGGTTTCTCCTGAAGGCTAAAGCTCAAGACGCGACCCTCCAGCGACACGTACGTGATTCTAATGATGCCTCCGGATGTCAAATTGTAACCCTCGATCCATGAACGATGCTCAAACGGCAAGGATACGCTTCGACGCGCGCTGAGTCGAGATACATGATACGATATGACATTTGAGGGTTGTTTTTTAGTTTCTCCTGCGTTTTCAGAGTGGATCATTGACGTGGATGGCTGTAATCCTCCACATCGCCAGTGAATGCCGTAACCGAATCAGCTTCTGTACCCCAATAATTGATACTGAGAAGTGACCACACACAATTTCCACCTCTATATTGTCACGGGCTTCAAACCGTGGTTTATGTCCCCCTTTTCTCCCGTTTCCCTTCTTTTCGCCGCTTCATCTGGGTCTTGTTTCTCGCTTTCCCTCACACTCCCCTCGTACGTCACATTTCCCTCTCGCACCCCAGCACTGGCAGCACGTGTCAGGAGTGGGCTACGCCGATTTCCGCGCCTTCCTGCGCGCTCAGCGGGACACGTGGCGGCAGGAGCGCGAGGCAAGCAGGGAGGAGGAGAGGCGCGCAGCACCCGCAGCGCCCCATGCTGACGTGGCACCTTCTCTCACACTTCCCTCACCCGCATCGCCTCATGCTGACGCGCACGGCGAGAGAGAGGTTGTGCGGGAAGTGGAGAAGGTTCGGATGGACGGGATGACAGTAGTTGATGGCCGTGGGGAAGAAGAAGAAGGGTCGGAAGAACGTCTAACGAATCCTGCCTGCGAGGCTATTGCGGCAGGACAGAGCACCGTTGCTGCTGATTCGAGTGCTGGTGCTGGTGCTGATGCTGATGCCAATAATATTTCCGAGAGCACTGAAGCGTCTCCTCCTTTCACGAGCAGCAGGGTTGACTCTATAGCTGCCGCTGTAGCAGCAGCCCTGGGAAAGTCAGAACCGCCTGTTACTGCGTCTTCTGAAGCTGCTCCCACTGCTGAAGGGCCCGAGGTGGATGTTACTGCTACTTCTACACGTGCTGCTGCTGATGCGGCTGTTTCTAAGCGTGATGGTTTTGAATCTGCTGGTTCTGGGCGTATTGGTTCCACAGGCAGGGAGAAGCTTGAGGATGGTGCAGAGGGTGTAGAGGGTGCAGAGGGTGAAGAGCACAGGGAGAGTGGAATAGAGGAGGAGGTGGCAATAAGGGTTAGCGCAGCCAGTGGCGCAGGTGCGGGTGTGTCTTCTAACGCGGATAGGGACGGGGAGAGAGGGGGTGAGGGAGGCGGGAGTGAAGTAGCAGCATCAGCAGCCTCAGCAGAAGCAGCGTCAGCATATCAAGGTGACGTCTCAAGGTCAACATTTGCAGCAGTGGCTGAGTCAGACAGCAAGCAGCAGGATAAAGACGGCAAGCAGGAGCACAACAAGGAGCAGGATAGCAAGCACAAGGACGGCAAGCAGCCGCCGTCCCCTCCATCCCTCCCTGCTGGCTTCACCTCTTCCATTTGCAGCGTTCCCCCAGAAGCTTCTAGAAACGTTCTCCCTCCTACCCCTCCTCGCCCTGGTCCTGCCAAGGCAGCAGCGGCAGCAGGGGAAGCGGAGGGGAGGAAGGGGGCGAGGAGAGGGAGCGAAGGAGCAGGGAGCGAGGGGGGTGCGGGGAAGGCGCTGGAGACGAGGAAATGGGCAGGGGAGGCGGTCGCAGGGAGGGGGAGTGGGGAGGTGGGGCCACCAGTGCGCATGTGTGCTGTCTTCGATGACTGCCTCGCCTCAGGTATGACATTGACACGGGAATTGGACACTGACTGACACTGGCACTGACAATGACACTGGCACTGACAATGACACTGACACTGACAATGACACTCACACACTGACTACCTTGTAGCTCGTAGCAGACAGAGGGCTCCGAAATAAACCTCTTGCCTTCTGTACCGTCAACCAACTGACTCTGACCTCGATAGCTTTCTCGTATGTGCGCCTTCGACACCCTTTTTCTGCAGTGCTTGTGGCTGGCTTCCACTTATCCTTCCGATTCTCTCGTAGAGCCTCAAAAACCGCCTCTTGCACTACCATGTCCATCCCACCACCCCCTCACCACCTCCACACCACCCTTCCGCCCCTCCCTCCCTCCCTCCCTCCCTGCAGTGAACAAGGTGCATTTCGCCCGCCACCACCCTGACCTGCTGGCGTACAGTGCTACTTGTGCCAAATGCAACTCTTTCCACTCAACCCCCCCCTTTCTCTTCCCCCCCACACTCCCCCTCCCCCCTCCCCCCTCCCTCCAGTGAACAAGGTGCAGTTCGCCCGGCACCACCCTGACCTGCTCGCCTACGGTGCTGCTTATACCAAATGCACCTGTTTCCACCCACACCCCCCCTTGTCTTCCCCCCCTCCCCCCTCCCTCCAGTGAACAAGGTGCAGTTCGCCCGGCACCACCCTGACCTGCTCGCCTACGGGGCAGCGGACGGCACGCTTCGCCTGTGCCACGTGCCGTGCAGCCGGTTGGGGAGTAAGGCAGGTGGCGCAGGGGGGAAGAGGGGCGCCGTGAGTGTGGCACGGGTGAAGCACGAGCTCAAGGGTCACACCAAGGAGGTCACAGGTGAGTCAAACCACTCCCCACTCACCTCGTCCTCCTCCTTGTAGTGAACAAGGTGCAGTTCGCCCAGCAGACGGCACGCTCGCCTACGGGGCAGCGGACGGCACGCTGCGGCTGTGCCACATGCCATGCAACCGGTTGGGGAGTAAAGGAGGCGGCGCAGGGGGGAAGAGGGGCGCCGTGAGTGTGGCACGGGTGAAGCACGAGCTCAAGGGGCACACCAAGGAGGTCACTGGTGAGTGAAACAAATGGGCAGAGTCTTAGGTTGACTTTTAACACAGAGGAAAGAGAAGTGGGCCAGTGAGCACGATGCGCGAGGGAGTGAAGCAGAGCAAAACGGTCAGCGTGAGTGAATGTGAAACCCTTTCTGCTGTGATGACTTTTGAGTCGTCGACTCAAAAGTCAACTCAGAGGAAAGAGAAGTGGGCCAGTGAGCGCGGCGGTGCGCGAGGGAGTGAAGCAGAGCAAAACGCTCAGCGTGAGTAACTGTGAAACCCATCCTTCTGTGGAACCACTCGTCATTTTCAAGATTCAAGATTCAAGATCCTACCGTTCACGTGCAGTGCCTGTGCTGTGCAGCAAGAGAGTGAGACTACATCCTGCGTGCTGTGCTCCACTCCACTCCACCGTCTCCACCTATGGCCAATCTCATTCTCTTGCTGCATTCCGCACGCCATCCATCCCACAATCCCACGTGGCAGACTTTGATTGGTCCACGGATGACGACTACCTGTGCTCGTCGTCCGCAGACAAGAGTGTGCGCGTGTGGGACGTGGGGTCGGGGCTGTGCCTGCGCATCTCATATACCATAGAATCGACCCGCCTCTTTCCCATCCGACTCCCATGCTCCCATCGCCTCCCATCACCTCCCACCTATCTATCCTTCCAATCCCACGTGGCAGACTTTGATTGGTCCACGGATGACGACTACCTGTGCTCGTCGTCGGCGGACAAGAGTGTGTGCGTGTGGGACGTGGGGTCGGGGCTGTGCCTGCGCATCATATACACTGTCATTCCGCAGACCTGCATCATCTTCCATCCGGTAAGGAGGGACTCACTCCCAGACTTGCATGATTTACATGACATGTGTGGGGACATGCATCGCTCTCATGGACGTGGGGTCGGGACAGTGCCTGCGCATCATATACACAGTTACTTCCCAAGCCTGCATCATTTTCCACCCGGTAATTACTCGGCATGCATGTGCATGTTGGGGTTCACATCGCGTGATGTGCCTGCGCATCAGCTACACGCCCATTTCGCAGACCTGCATCATCTTTCAGACTTCCTCATCTTTCAGACTTCCACCCAGTGAAAACCCTTTCCCCGGCATCACATGGTTTTTAAGACGAGACATGCAGCACTCTCACTCCTGGTGGTGGCGAACAGCAAGAGGGAGCTGACAGTGATGAACTTCAGCACGGGGCGAGTGGTGAGCCGCGCGCCTCTCTCCTGCTCCCATCCCCCCCCTCTACTCCCTTCCCCCCTCCCTGCCAGCAAAACAACAATTTCCTGGTCGTAGCAAACAGCAAGCGGGAGCTGACAGTGATGAACTTCAGCACGGGGCGAGTGGTGAGCCGCGTGGCCATGGACAGCAACGTCACTGCACTCGTGGCCGACCGAACCACCTCCGCCTCCTCTGCAGCAGCAGGCTCTACCACCAGTAGCACCAGCAGCAGCAGTGGCAGCAGTGGAGGAGGAGGAGCAGGCAAGGCAGCTGCAGCAGGAGCGGCGGGGGCGGGGAGTGGTGGGTTTGGAGGGGGAGCAGGGGAGGCGGACAGTGTGGTGTTTGTGGGCGACAGTGAGGGCGCCATTCACAGCTTCACAGTGGACAAGCAGTCGGGCGCTCTGCAGCGCCGCCACAAGACCGTTGCGGGGGTCGTGCACCCGGCACCAGTTGCATCGCTGCACTTCAGCCCGACGTCAGTGTTGGCGAATGGACCGGTCCTCCTGGCGTGCAGCAAGGACGGCTGCGTGCGATTCTACACGTGAGTATGGTACTCTAACGTACTCAGTACCTGCTGCTTTGATGTGTGAGTACTGGTGATGGTGGGGAGTATTGGCCAGTCGGGCGCTCTGCAGCGCCGCCACAAGACCGTTGCTGGAGTCGTGCACCCGGCTCCAGTTGCCTCGCTGCAGTTCAGCCGTGCACGTACCTCTTCCTCACTGCACTTACCTCTCTTCCTCTCTGAAATTACCTCTCTTCCTCTCGCGACCTCGCTGCAGCCCTGTGTTCATGGGCCTGCACCCCCCTTCCCTCTTCTCCGCATCCCTCCGCACCCCTCCCCACCCATCTCCCACCACCAGCATGCCCTAGATCTTAACGGCTATCATTTCCTCAAGATCTCATTGTAGCTCTGCCCTTACCCCCCTCCCCACCCCCCCCCCCCCCCCCCCCCCCCCATCCCCACCCACCAGCACCGCTCTGGAGCTCAACGGCTATCTCTTCCTCAAGATCTCGCTGCAGCTCTCCTCACGAGCCACCAACATGAACGCCACCTTCTGCCCCCCGCTTGGGCCCTCGGGGTCGGGGGAGTACATTGGTGAGTTTGGAGTGGTAGTGAGTGGTGGTCAATGGTAGTCAATGGTAGTCAATGGTAGTCGATTCCGCCCTGCCCACTTTAGAGTCTCCTCGCGAGCCACCAACATGAATGCCACCTTCTGCCCCCCGCTTGAGCCCTCGGGGTCCGGGGAGTACATCGGTGAGTTTGCAGTGGTAGTCAGTGGTAGTGAATGGTGGCAAATGGTAGTCAATTCCGCCCTGGCCACTTTAGAGTCTCCTCGCGAGCCACCAACATGAATGCCGCCTTCTGCCCCCCGCTTGGGCCCTCAGGGTCTTGGGAATACAATACATTGGTAAGGGGTGCGATGGTGGATGGAGAATGAGCTTGCAACGATAGCGAATGGTGGCAAATGGTTGTTAATGCCCCCCTGTCCACTTCTGACGCGCCCCGAGAGCCACCAACATGAATGCCGCCATCCCGCTTGGGGCCTCCGAGTTAGGAGAATACGTCGGTAAAGGGTGCAGTGGTAAAGTCTACGGCTTGATAAAGTCCTCACAAGGCCATCCGATAGTGCGTTCCTACCAGTGCACAGGTTGCCTATCCCACCCCCTTTCTTTTCTTCATTATATTCTCACCACCCCCTCCCGTCCTCCCTTTCCCTCCCTTCATCCTGCTGTTCCCAACCCGCTCTTCCCATGCATGCAGTGACGGGCAATGCCGACCATCACGTGTACTTTTACGACTTCATGAAGCCGCGCAGTCCGCTCGTGGCCCGCGTTCCTGTGAGTGTGGGAATGAGTTTTAAATAAACTTAAAAGGACGTTAGATTTGACCCAATGCCGACCACCACGTGTACTTTTACGACTTCATGAAGCCACGCAGTCCATTGGTGGCCCGCGTGCCGGAGAGTAACCGTGCCTTGTGTTTCTGCTGGTCAGTAATCCTCACACACTCAGGTCAGGTTTACATGAAAGTGCAGCAGCATGCTTACAGTTTCATGTCGCATCATCCGCCGTGAGCCTCACACACTCAGGTCAGGCTCACGGCTGATGATGCTACAGTTTTGTATTTGCGTGTTGATGCTCACGGCTCTCGGTTTACCACGTGATAATAAATTGGTTTTTGAGACGTCTCAAAACCGAGTTATAATCATGCGGCTGATAATGCTACAGGACTGTTCATGCATGATGATGCTCACGTCTCTCGTTGTACCCTTCCCATCGCCTCCCCTACTGCCCCACTTCTCCTTCGCAGGGTCACAAAGCAATGGTGGTGGACGTGAGTTGGAACAACAGCAATACTGTACTCGCCTCCTGTGACTGTGATGGGGTGGTGGCGCTGTGGCAGCGGGTTTAGCTCCTGATACCAGTGTGTGCATCAAGAGCAGAGCTCCCAATAGTGTGTGCTTCACTAGCACCTCTGGGAACAACAGCAACACTGTGCTCGCCTCCTGTGACTGCGATGGGGTGGTGGCACTGTGGCAGCGAGTATAAGAGCATAGCCAATGCTCTGTTATCATCAAGAGTATTGCTCCTGATAGTGTGGGCCTGAAGAGCATCTTGTGTGTGTGCTTCGAGAGCAGGTAATTGCTGGTCTTGTTTGCCTTTCAATGCAAGACAAGCACTTGTTGGAACAACAGCAACACTGTTTCCAGTGCTCACCTCCTGTGGGGTATGATGGGGTGGTGGTGCTGTGGAAGCGAATTTAGGTTTGGATAATGTGACCGCAATGCATTGCGGCGGCGGCACAACACAACGCGCCTAGACTAGACTAAGAAGTTGTTTCGTGCATGCATGCTAAGCTACGGTAAGCGAGCGCATGCATGGATGCATTTCCTGTGCCTGGTCGTACAGTAACTTGTTCCCTGTGATGTTGCTACAAGCTAGCAGGACTCAAATTCTCGACAAGCATTGCAATGCAAAGCAAGCGACCGTCATACATCATCAACGAATGAAAGCTAAATAGTAGGAAGTGTTGAGATGAAGTATACCAGTCTCTAAAACGATCCTAGGGCTTTTCTCTGCCCAACAGGAAGGACACTAACAGTATTGATACTCCTACCATGAGGCAATCAAACAATTCATATGCACGGAATGCTTTCCAAAGCATGCTGCTGTTACCGGTACATTTTCATTCACTAGACTCTTGAGCTGGACTGGAACTCCCTGGAAACTGCTGTTAATATTTTGATAACTGGTAACATAGTGCAAGAATTGCCACATTGCAACACCAGCCTAATCACCACCAGATCCTTTCTCTCCTTCCTCCGCCCCCGCCCCTCCATCCCCTTCTGCCGCTACTGCACCTGTATCAGCTTCTCCTGCCCCCCCGTGCACCCCCTGCCCCCTCTGCTCCCCCGACGCCCCCCCTCACTGCCTTGCACCGACCCCACCACATCGTATTTGAACTGCAGAGACGACTCCCAGTCCCTCAGCGTCTCCATCTCCGAGTAGGTCAGCCCTGCCAGGTCTTGCGCCCCACCAAATCTCATTCATTGCTCCGCTCCCTCCCCTTCTGCTGCTACTGCCCCTGCATCGGCTTCTGACCCTCCTCCCTCTCCTTTTGCCCCCCCTGCTTCCTCCGCACCCCCTGCCCCCCCTGCACCTCCTTCTGCGTCTCCTCCCCCCATGCCCCCCTCACTCGCCTTCACCGACCCCACCACATCATACTTAAACTGCAGCGATGACTCCCAGTCCCTCAAGGTCTCCATCTCCGAGTAGGAGAGCCCTGTCAGGTCCCCCACGGCGTCCTTGGGATCGGTCGACATCTTGGCAAACGCACGGCTTGCCTCCTTCCCTGCAAACACCTCATAAGGACCTCCTGGGCCGTAGAAGTGCCTGGAAAAAGGGGCGGGCAAGGGTGGGTGGGGGAGGAAAAAGCAGGAATTAATATCTGAGTTGTTTCAAACATAGCTTGCCTCGCTTTTTCCCCTGCAAAGACCCTTCAGGGTCTCCATCTTGGAATAGGTGAGCCCTGTGAGGTCCCCCACCGCATCCTTAGGATCGGTCGACATCTTGGCAAACGCGCGGCTCGCCTCTTTTCCTGCAAACACCTCGTAGGGGCCTCCTGGACCGTAGAAGTGCCTGAGACGGGGGGAGAGGGGAGTGGGTTCGGTGAACGGGGGGGAGGAGAGGGCAGAATGGAGTTTTGAGTCAGCTCAAGCATTTCTTGCCTCGATTATTTCCTGCAAATACCTCAGAGTGACGTCATGACTTCACCCATTTCTTGCCTTCATTCTTTTTTCAGAATAGGTCAGCTCTGTCAGACCCCCACGACATCCCTGAGTGACTCTGAGTCCCATTAAAATCCAGTAGGGCATCATGACAAGGACTCTGTGAGTTTATCGGATCTTCCAGTGGGGGAAATTGTGGGATACAGGATGAGCACTCACTGCAGAGGGTGTATGACACATTGAAACCCAGTTGTTATGCAAATTGACACCCAGTTTGACATGCGGTTTGACACCCAGTTTGACATGCGGTTTGACATCCAGTTTGACATGCTATTTGACACCCAGCTTGACATGCTATTTGACACCCAGCTTGACATGCTATTTGACACCCAGATTGACATGCTATTTGACAACCAGTTTGACATGCAGTTCGACGAGGGTGGAAAAACAGGCACTCACTTTCCACGAGTCACATCGTAGATTTTTCCTCGAACGGCCTGGGCAGGAGGAAGGGATGGGGGAGAAGAGGGAGAAGGGAAGGGGATGGGGAGGAGAAGGGGACGGAAAAGGGGAGGGGGAGAGTGGGAGAAGGGGAAAGAGAGTGACGTAAAAGGGAGGGGAGAGTATTTACAATACACTGTAATACAAGCCACGATTGACGCCCATATCGCCATGGCAACATAAAAGCGCAAATCACTCACAAGAAGGATCGGTTTCTCCGGGTCGCTGCCGCTGTACTGGCTTAGCTCCTCGAGGGTAATTTCCCCTATTTTAATCGGCTCAGGTGGGCCCGGGACTGGAGGCGGAACAGGCGCAGCGCGGTGCTGGACGTACGAGAAGATGACGTAAATGATAGACGCGACGAGGACTAATAACGAGACTGTTGTTGACGGAGCAAGCCCTGTGGCTTCTTGCACGTACGCCAGAAAGGACTGTAACGGGGATAGAGCAGTCGACATAGTGCTGACGAAGAAAGAGCGCGAGGTTTGTCAATGACAGTATGCAGGGCCAAGGCGGGGTTGTTAACAAGTGGAATTCACAAGTTTAGGTTGCGCGAAAACGAACGCGACGACGAGTGAAAGCGAACGGTGCGAGGAGACGCGAATTCACAGGTTTAGGTTTGCACTACGGCGCTGCGAAGCCTGATTGAAGACCACAAAAGGCTAGGAAAGTAAACAAGTGGGACGAGCGGGAGGATCTCTGTGATTGACAGGACCGGGAAATGGCGCCAAGTCGGCGGTGATTGCGCGGATTTCTAGACTCGAGATTACGCAACCTCGATGTTGACGAGACAGATAATGGGGAATTCAACACAGCAACAGCAACCCTGCGGGTCGTATTCGGTTCTGGTTTTTCTTGAACCATTTGATTCCAGAAACCAAGGCTGGTTCGACCCTGAGTAGAATCGATGTTTGAACTGCTAACCGCACCCAGCCTTATCCGACGTCTTGATATTCTCCCGTTGACGACGTCTTCAAAACGTTCTATTTGCGTTCCAAAACCAAAACCTTAAAAGATCTCAAATGGCTAACCACGTCCTCAGTATCGAATCACAAACCAAGTGCAACCCATGTGCTTCTAAAATAGGCGGTATAAAAACGCGTTAATCGAGTTACCAAACGCGTTAAGCGAGTTACCGTACGCGTTATAGTGCCCCATGTAAGTCACCATTGACATATTTTCCCTAAAAACTAGATAGCAGATACGTTGCGGGCGTGAGATCCGCGTTAGTACACTTGCCCGACTGCATTTGGCGGCGGTTCGACGATACGTCCCTCAAGAGCAGCGACGCTTCGCGAACTGCGTAACGTCCTGTGGCGAATTCGCCATATGTCCTGTCGCCGATCTCTCGTTAGTGCCGTTTGCTTGTAGGACCACTGGCTGAACGCTATCGCGTTTCCTGGACCGTCGTTGCTCTTCTTGTAGCAAGCTCGCAGCATGATATATCGATCATGATCACGTATCCCACTCAGGCCAGACCCCGACAAGATTAAGGCGATCTTCAGACCAAATCCAGATTCGACTCATACCAGACGCATGCCCTGTCTAGAGGGACGTGAAGCAAGAAGTGGACGCGTGTCATGTCCTCTCTAGAAAGAAGCGTGTCAGGCTTAGCTTAGGGAGCACGCAGGCTTCTTGATTTAGAGCCGGTCCACGTCAAGCAGTCGTCAGCGTGACGCCACTCGCCTTGTCAAGACGCCATGGTCCGAGGTAAGCCCATGGTCAGGTTGCTCCTGTAACATGGTTACTCTGCTTTCGTCACATTCGAGGTAAGCCCTTTGTTACTCTGCTCCTGAAACCTCCGATGTAGACTCATGGTCACTCTGTTTCTGTAGCAGGGTGCCAGGGTAAAGTCTGAGCCTACTCAACTCAAATTCTTTGTGCATCCGATGTTGTCGTCACCCCTTACCCACGGAGGGTTCAGTCTGAACTTACCCAGCGTGGTCTGTTTGTCTCATAATGTGCACCCCACTGCATAGCCGGTTGCAGACCTGCCAGGCTCCTAAACTTTGTGTTTCTTGGATTTTTAATTATTAACTTTGTTATTATGTTCCCAAGTAAAAAAAAGGCTGCGCACATTAAATTTGTTATTATTAAATTTGTTATTATTGTGTCTGTCTCATACTGTGTTGTGCATCACATCCATGGCATGGCCATGCAGATCTGCGAGGCTTTTGAGGGTTTGTTATAGGCTTTAAGGGTTATGCATAGGGTTTAAAGGAATCATTGCTGTGTACCCCCATGGCATGTGCATGCAGACCTGCCAGGCTTCTATCACGACGAAGCCACCAACCGCTGCCTAGAACTGGTTCTAAAAGCTTTAAATCTGCGACTTGTCGTCTGTCTCGTCTGTGCATGTGCGTGCAGACCTGCCAGGCTTCTATTACGACGAGACCGCCAATCGCTAATTCCACCTGCCCCGACCTGCCCATTGTTGTCTGTCCCGTACTGTGTTGTGCACACCATGGCATGGCTGTGCATGTGCGTGCAGACCTGCCATGCTTTTACAACAAAGAGGCCTCTAACCGCTACTTCTGCCTGCCAGGCTCCTAGGTTCACATATATGCTTAACTCATGGCCCCATACTGTGCACCCCATGGCATGGCTGTGCATGTGCTGCATGTGCGTGCAGACCTACCAGGGTTCTACTACGATGAGGCCACCAACCGCTACTTCCGCCTGACAGGCTCTTAGCTTTCCAACCCCACCGTACTGTGTACCCCATTGCATCCCCCCGTACCGTACATAACCCTGCAGACCTGCCAGGGTTCTACTACGACGAGGCCACCAACCGCTACTTCCGCCTGCCCAGACCTTCCACTCCGGCCCCCTCGCCCTCTCCATTTGCAGCAGCAGCTGGTGGTGTGCATGCAGCAGGGGGAGGCGGCGGAGGAAGAGGAGGAAGAGGGGGAGGAGGAGGGAGAGGAGGACGAGGAGGGGAAGATGGAGGTGTGGGGAGAGGAGGAAGCGGGGATGGGGGCAGAGGAGGAGGCGGAGGAAGAGGTCGGGGACGGTCTGGAGGAGAGGGGGACAGGCATGGTAGGCCCCACCCTTTGTCCCTGACAGCTTCTGAGAAAGTTCCCACCGTTTACCAGCTGCTGTGTGGGAGGGAGACAGGAGCTCGCTGCTGGCACCCCTCAGTAGTGTCACATTCGGTAACAGCAGCAGGTTCGCCCGTTCCTGGAGCACACTTGTTAAGATCACATTGCTCGTTAGAGTCACAGGCGGCCTCAGAAAGGAGGCGGAGGAGGAAACGAGGGAAAGAGCGTGCAGAGGGGCAGCAGGATGGGTCTCACCACACATGCATGGAGCATGGCCGTGTGCAGCGTGGTTCGCATGGTGATGCTGTTGGTGGTGATGTTGGTCACAGTGCGCATAACGATCGTGCTACTAATGGTCGTGCTGGTGCTGAACTTGATGGTGACAGTGGTCATGGGGGCCGTCTGAAGGCGGTTCCGTTGGTGTCTTGGCGGGCGTTTGAAACAGCAGCTCGCACTGCTGGCATGAGGAACCTCAAGGTGGGGATGAGAGAGGCGAGTAATGGCGATGTGATGCAGGCATGCATTGTGCATTTGGGGCAGTACAATGCAACAGAGAGGGCGTGTATTGCAGGCATGGCAGTGATGCATGTGGTGGCGCAGGGGGGGGAGGGCGCGCATGTGTGGCTTTTGAGATTTTTCACAAGTCGCCTCTGCTGCCTTTGTTGTGCATGCACCCTCCTCTGCACCTTCCTCTGCCCTCCTCTGCACCCTCCTGCACCCTCCTCTGCACCCTCCCTGTTTCTTGGCTCTGATGTTACGAGCATACGCACCCTCCCTTGGGGCAGCAGAGCGATTGGTGACTCTGGTGTTGCTGCTGGCAGCTGTGCAGCGTGAGTGGGTGGATTGGGTAGGAAAAGAAGGGGGAGCAGAGGGGGAAGGAGAGGGCGTTTGGGTTGGGGCCTTCTCAAGCTCGCACTCCCTCTTTCTGGGCTCGGATGTTACGAGCATACGCACGCTCCCTTGGGGCAGCAGGGCGGTTGGTGACTCTGGTGTTGCTGCTGGCAGCTGTGCAGTGTGAGTGGGTGGATTGGGTAGGAAAAGAAGGGGGAGCAGAGGGGGAAGGAGAGGGCGTTTGGGTTGGGGCCTTCACGTGCTCGCACTCCCTCTTTCTGGGCTCTGATGTTACGAGCATACGCACGCTTCCTTGGGGCAGCAGGGCGGTTGGTGATTCTGGTTGCTGCTGGCAGCTGTGCAGTGTGAGTGGGTGGGGTTGGTAGGTAGGAGAGAGAGGGGAGGCTAAGGTGTTGAGGGGCTGGGGCTATGAAGCTCGCACTCGCTCTTTTTGGGGAGGGACGAACGAACTGCCTAACTTTTTCTCCAGTGTAGATGTTCCTTTCCCCGTTCCTATCCTTCCTGTCCTTCCTGTCCTTCCCGTCCTTCCCAGCATCACGACTCTAGGCACGGGGGGTCACCCTGCCTGTGTGGTGCTGGCTGGTCTGGACCTCTTGGGCTCATCTGGTGCAGCCACAACTGGTGACGGCGCAGCTGCTGTTAATGGCTCTTTCCCTTCTTCCTGTCCATCCCGTCCTTCCCAGCATCACGACTCTAGGCACGGGGGGACACCCGGCCCGTGTGATGCTCGCTGCACTCGACCTCGCAGACTCTTCTGATGGCGGCGGCACAACTGCTGCTGCCAGGGGTGCCAATGGTGCTGCCGCTGCTGCCGCTGTTGCTGGTGTGGCTGGTGCTGGTGTCACGAGCGGTGGTGGAAGTGGCAGGAGAAGGAGCAGCAGGCAGCGTCTTCATTGGCAAGTGGAGAGGCAGTTTGAGTTGCCGGGCAGCGTGTGGGCGTGTGAATGCTCGCCGAAGCAGGGGGAAATTGGAGTGGGTGAGTGAGTGTGACTCTTAGGTACCTCAAGGCTCCTAGTAGACCGACCCGTACAAGGGTCGCTGGCCTTGAGAAAAGCGCACGTCATTACCACCTGCGCTTTGTTATGCGAGGAAGCATATGTTGCCGCTACCGCAAACAGCACCGCGTGCATCTGTTTCTCTCTCACTGTGTGTGTATTGTATCTGTGTGTCTCTCCAGGCACCTCTCCAGGAGACGGGGCAGCAGAGCACCCTCCAGCTTCTCACTGTTTGTTTCCTGTGAACCCCTCCCACTGCATCTCTGTGCCTCTCTCCAGGCACCTCCCTGGGATTGCGGCTGCTGCACGTGGAGACGGGGCAGAGGACAGCCCTGTGCCACAGCAACAGTGACGTGCTAGCGCTGCAGGTCACAGGGGAGGTGAGACACGGAGAGGTGGTGCATGGGGGAGGTGAGTTATGGGGGAGGTGGGATCTGCACGGGGAGACGGGGCAGCGGACGGCCTTGTGCCACAGCACCAGTGACGTGCTGGCGCTGCAGGTCACAGGGGAGGTGAGACCCTGGGAAGGTGAGACCCTGGGGAGGTGAGACCCTGGGGAGGTGAGACCCTGGGGAGGTGAGACCCTGGGGAGGTGAGACCCTGGGGAGGTGAGACCCTGGGGAGGTGAGACCCTGGGGAGGTGAGACCCTGGGGAGGTGAGACCCTGGGGAGGTGAGACCCTGGGGAGGTGAGACCCTGGGGAGGTGAGACCCTGGGGAGGTGAGACCCTGGGGAGGTGAGACCCTGGGGAGGTGAGACCCTGGGGAGGTGAGACCCTGGGGAGGTGAGACCCTGGGGAGGTGAGACCCTGGGGAGGTGAGACCCTGGGGAGGTGAGACCCTGGGGAGGTGAGACCCTGGGGAGGTGAGACCCTGGGGAGGTGAGACCCTGGGGAGGTGAGACCCTGGGGAGGTGAGACCCTGGGGAGGTGAGACCCTGGGGAGGTGAGACCCTGGGGAGGTGAGACCCTGGGGAGGTGAGACCCTGGGGAGGTGAGACCCTGGGGAGGTGAGACCCTGGGGAGGTGAGACCCTGGGGAGGTGAGACCCTGGGGAGGTGAGACCCTGGGGAGGTGAGACCCTGGGGAGGTGAGACCCTGGGGAGGTGAGACCCTGGGGAGGTGAGACCCTGGGGAGGTGAGACCCTGGGGAGGTGAGACCCTGGGGAGGTGAGACCCTGGGGAGGTGAGACCCTGGGGAGGTGAGACCCTGGGGAGGTGAGACCCTGGGGAGGTGAGACCCTGGGGAGGTGGACCTTGAAAACTCCATCTGCATGCGTACCTTCCCAACTGTCTCCATTTGTCTCTACGTAGTATACGGGTGCAAGGGGAAGACCGTCTTTCCTCGCCTCTGTCCTCATAGCATGGAGCGACCAGCAAGGGGGAGAAAGTCTTCTTTCTCTCCTCAATCAATCCCACAAGCACCCCACAGTGCGACCCCAGCAGTGCCACCATCTGATAGGCCGTTTTCTGCAACGGCACCATTGCCACCATCGATTCTCTTTGCGTGTCAACCTTCTCATTCTCAACCCCCCCCTCTCTCCCAACCCTCTCCCCCAACGTGCGACCCCAGGGCAGCATCTGCTCGGCCGTTTTTCGCAACGGAGCCATCGCCACCATCGATCCTCTATGCGTCTCAACCTTCTCATCCCCTCGCCCCTTCCCTTCCCCTCCCCCCCCCCCCCCTCGACCCCAGGGCAGCATACCTGGCCGGCTTCCGCAACGGCGCCATCGACACGCACGCACCCCTGCCCACCTCGATTTCTGAGTGGACTCAAACAAACCCTCTCCTCTTTCCCCCCCCTCCCCCCCTCGACCCCAGGGTAGCATCTACCTGGCTGGTTTCCGCAACGGCGCCATCGCCACCATCGACACGCGTGCACCCCTGCCCACCTCGTCCAAGCAGCTCCCGCACCCATCACCACGGCTCTCACACTCCTCCTCCATGCACCCAACGCATCAGAGGGGGCAGGGGGGCAGGAGGGGAAGGATGGGTGCAGGGGAGGTGAATGAATATTACTGCAGCCACCAGCGAGTCATGCGCATGCCGTCTGCTGTATCTGGGTATGTTCGGCCTCTGCGCTCTGCCCTCTGCCCTTTGCTCTCTGCCCTCTGCTCTCTGCCCTCTGCGCTCTGCCCTCTGCCCTTTGCTCTCTGCCCTTTGCTCTCTGCCCTCTGCTCTCTGCCCTCTGCTGTATCTGGGTGGGTACGGCTGGCGTTTGCGATTTCAAGGTATGGTCACTCACTGCACTGCTCATGCCTTGGGCTGCCACGTTCCAGAGGCCAATTTTGAGATGTTGATGTGTTGCGCAAGTCATGAGTTTTGAGACGTCTCGAAAAGCATGCGCTTTGCTGTCATGTGGGGCAGAGGGCTGAAGTTTCAAAAGCTTTTGTGTTGTGCAAGTCATGGGTATGGAGTAGAGTCGGGCATGCCCTTGCTGGGTACGTCTGTGTGTGTGCAGCACGTATGTTGCAATCATTAACTATGTATGTCGTGACTCTGCGCTCGTGCTTTGTTCTACTCCTTTATTGCCATGCATGGGGACATCATCCATGGCATATGGTGAATAAGGCTTGGTGCATGGGGCATGGTGCATGGTGCATGGGGTATGGTGCATGGGTCTTGGTGCATGGTCCATCGGGCATGGTGCATGGCGTATGGTGCATGGTGCATGGGGGGCATGGGGCATGACACATGCAGCATGTAGGCCATGAAGCATAGTGACTTCTACCTCTTTGCATCCTCGTTTGATGGATCCGTGAGTCCCACCTTTCCATCAATGCATTGTCTGCCACCCGGTACTTTTCTTCGCACTAAACTCGTGCACTGTAGTCAATTTCTCACTTCTGTTGATGCTTCATGCGTGCCGGGTTAGCGAGTCCAATACTTTGACCCGCCATTTCTACTTTCGGAAACCGCAGCCTTAATTGGTGCATGGTCGCGTCAGTAGGCTAGTGTCGTCCGCTGTTCCTCCCTCCCTCGCTCTCCACCCAATTCTGCCCTTCCCTAACACTCCCGTTCCTCTCGGAACTGTGACTCACCTGTTTCCAGTCACTGCCCCGATGCGTCAGCGGCAGCCAGGGCTGTCACTACCAGGGCGTTTGCCCTGTTTGCCCTGAAATTTCAGGGCTAGTCTGACCGAAAACTCTGACATTGAAGGGTTCCCAAAAAGCTGGCCCTGATTCCTTAAGGGTTGGTTTGGGGGTTAATCCTGAGTCTAAAGGGCCAGTTATACGTGTATTCCTGAGATTCACGGAAGGAATTCGGTGCATCCTGGTTAATTTCCACCCTTTCACCAACTAACTGTCTCAGTAGTGAGGAGGAGACATCTGTGAAGTATGAGGCGCTTTGTAACAAGGAGTGGGAAGGAAACTGTTTTCCCCTAAAGGGGAGTATTTCTTCCAGCCTTGAAGCCTAAAGGGTTGGATTGGGCCCAACCCTGCTACACGCAGGGTCCTACATGCCGGGCACCCTGATTCGTCCGGGTGCTTCCAAACACATCGACAGCCCTGGCGGCAGCTGATGCCTCGCACCAATCACCTCTCACTGCATTTCTCCGTGCCTTGTCATTCTCACTGTGATTGCTCGTTTCTCACATGGTCCCATCCACCCAATGGCAGTTGTTTCAATGGGACCTCCGCTCTACGGCGTCGTCCCTGCGCCAGTTGCAGGGCCACAGAAACTCGCACTTCCACCTGCCACTGCTGCTTGACCCTTCAGAGAACTTCATATGTGCACGTGAGGCATAGCATAAATCCGTTGTTTCTCCTATCGGCCTTGTTTGTGCAGCTGTTGTAACAATTTGTCGTGTTACCCTTTTTTTTGCAGCTGGAAATGACTATGAAGCTCGCATCTGGAGTGTTTCAACTGGTGCCTTGCTGTCAGCGGCTCACCTCCCTGGTCATGCTACTGCTGCTCTTTGGCCTTGTACATCTGGTAGGTGTTGTATTGTGGCTTCGTTATATTTCCGACCCCTTCATTCGTATCTTCATTTATATACATAACTTGTTCTTATGTTTGCAGGTTCTGGAAATGGTTTGTCAGATTTTCCAGATGGTATATTTCTTGGTACATGCGACTCTTTGTGCTACTTGGATTTCTCAATGTAGTACACTCGAAAGCATGCCTAAAACGAAGTCAAATCCAGCTTGGCGGTTCTTACTGTCAACGAACCGCCACGTGGCATCAGAAACTGTGGCATTTGCTCCAGCCACTCGTCTCGTCCCCATGTCTCGGAACCTTTCGCAGCGCAACAAGTTCCAGCCACATGTAACAAGGTGACGCTGCTGCTCGCTCCCCTTGGCCTAGCTGATCGTTCCGCTTACCTGATCCCGCCAGCACATTATCCGTTGGGCATGGCTTTGCTGAGTGCTTCTGAAACAGAATGACAGGTGGTTCAGGGGTTAGCAGAGCGGTTGTATGCGTTATATTATTGTATTATTTCCCCCTTTTGATAATTCGAATTCGCTCTTGCTGCCTCGACTTGCTGTCTCTGACAAACCAGTGTCTGTTTGCTTCTTCAAGCTCCTGGCTCGTTGTTCCCTATCTTCTGCTTCCAATCGTCAGGAATTTGGAACGGGACAGAGCCTGCTTACTGGTGAGCCACGCTCCACACCCTCCGTTCAAGAACCGCATTTCGCCTGGCACCGTACGGTGCTGTGTCTTGGTATAGCGCTGCAGCTGGTGATAGATAATCCGTAATTGCGCGTTGTGACCTGTTTTAGCTGCACGATTTTGTAGCGAGAATGTTTCTGGTGATTTGAGGAACAATCTTCGCTTGTAGGCTAGGACTCCGGTCATCGCGGTACTGACGATAAGGGGGAGTGGTTTCGTCTACGCGTTTCGTGTCTCCTTTCGTCGCAGAACCAATTGGTCGCCTAAGCAGCCATGGCACTCGCGGCTCTGCACCAGTCGGCCTCGTTGCATGCAGTCCGTCTCTCTCCTTCCTACTCTTCTGAACGCCACGTCAGCGGAAGCTCTCCCTTAGAATCACAACTATCGCTTCTATCTGGAACCGCAACTCAACACCAGTCTCTCAGCTCTCGCTCTCTCGTCGCTCCAAAGCTCTCACGCCAGAGATTTCTCGGTTCGTCGACCGAATCAGCGGCTGCGAGGGCGACGACGGTGACGGCGACTTTGGCGTCGGAGAGCGAGGCTGCGAAGGCTGGCGCGACGCCGGCGAATTCAGGAGAATCGAGGCTTGCGAAGGTAACATTTCATGTTTCGTTTTGCGACGGTGATTTGTCGTGAATCAAGGTGAAAGAATAGCAACGAGTAACCAATGTGGGGAAGCATTAGCCACCCTATCGTATCGCCGTACAGCAATGAATGCTCGAAACATTTACCCCGTATTCCGCTTCAACCGCGGTTGGATTCTAAGAACTCTAAAAAACCTGCTCGGAATATAAACCCCGTCTTCCACTCAACAACGGCATTTTGGTGACGTGACTTCATCTTCAATCGAACTCCTGTTCCCTCTCCGCTCTCCCCGTTCCACACAACTCCCTTCAGGTGCCCATCGAGCGAATTCGCAACTTCAGCATCATCGCGCACATCGACCACGGCAAGTCCACCCTGGCCGACAAGCTGGTCGAGACAACAACTCCCGCTCTCCCAAGTACCACATCCCGTGTCCCCCCATTTCCCCCAATTCACACAACTCCCGCCAGGTGCCCATCGAGCGCATCCGCAACTTTAGCATCATCGCGCACATCGATCACGGCAAGTCCACCCTGGCTGATAAGCTGCTCGAGACGACGGGCACGGTGCAGGCGAGGGAGATGAAGGAGCAGTTCCTCGATAACATGGAGCTGGAACGAGAGCGAGGGATTACCATTAAGTTACAGGTAAGAATAAAAAAGCTAGGGGGTTACGAATACACTCCGGGCACGGTGCAGACGCGCGAGATGAAGGAGCAGTTCCTGGATAACATGGAGCTGGAACGGGAGCGAGGGATCACGATCAAGCTGCAGGTGGGGTTACTGTTGGGTTTTTTAGTGAGATGACGGTGGAGGCGAGGGAGATGAAGGAGCAGTTTCTGGATGGCATGGAGCTGGAGAAAATAGATGGAAAGAGGGAACAGCAACTTTTCTCTTTGTTCACAGCGCGATGCTGCTGATATTATTGCTGTCGCTCTTGCACAGCTACCTTGCTATTCCCATCCCATCACTCACCCCAGCCCTTGACAAAGAAGCGATGATGCCGCAATAAGGCCGAAATGACAGCTGCCAGGTGGCAGGCAGTGACTGGTCCGTTGACTTTGACTTGGTCAGCGGTCGAGTCCCTGCCTTGCTCTGCCTCGGCTGCCAGTGTGACATGTGCGCACAGCGAGCAAAGGTTGATCCGCTTTCCTCTGAGCTTCTGAGTGAAAAACGGGAGGGGCTAGCAGAACGATAGTGTTAGGTAAGATCAGATGTAGGTAGTTGCAGGTAACAGATTGTTGTGGGCTGGTTGCAAGGATCGAAAAGAGGAAGGACATGAATTGCTGCCACCTGCCCCTGCCTGCTGCACCCTCTCCCTCTCTCACTCCTCTGGGGTGGATAGGGAAGAGCGGCACTTGCAAGGGCCGGGCGAGGCGAGCAGAGAGTATGACGTCCGTTACACTTGATATGAGCAACCGAACCAACGGCATGATTCCTGTGACTTTTTTTTTTACTTTTGAGACGTCTCATAAGGAGGGTGGCGCAAGCAGGGGCAGGGCGAGGCGAGCAGAGAGTATGACGTCCGTTACACTTGATATGAGCAACCCAAGCCAAGGCATGATCTTTGTGATGGGCAAAAGGATGAGCTTTTGACGGGAGACAGCTTTTTGATTCCTGGGCGTGGATTTATTATTATTGGGTTGGGGTGTTTCTGTTGTTAGTAATTTACCGACTGTTGTCACCCTAAATGTCTCTGGGAGAAGCTATGATGATGACTGGAATGATGGTGAGTTCTGGAGTCCTCTTTGCTCCTCAACTTCCTCCACCCGCCCAACCGCCGCCACCAGAGCGCCCTCCCCTGTCCGTCCCTTTCCTTTCTCCACTCTCTCCTCCCTCCAGTCACTCCTTCCCACGTCCGCACCACCACCCTTCTCTCTGCTCTAATCCGCCTCTGCTGGCAGCGTGACAGACACTTAGCCAAATCCGAAGGCCTTTCTGCTCCTCTCCTCCTCTCCCTCCGTCCGCCCTTCTCCCTCTTTCCCCAAACCCTGAATCCCATCTTTTGCTCTACTGTGAAAGAGGGGGGTTCAAGGGGGAGGTTTGAGAGCGGAGGGGTGGACGGGATCTGGGAGGGGTGGAGATGGTTGCAGGGAGGCCTGATGACGCGAAAATGGTTGTCCGAGAACAAAGGTGTATGGAAGCCTGGTATTTGCCGCTGGTGGATCTCGAGCAAGAGAGAGAGTGGGTGAAGTGGAGCAACGTGAGGGGAGTGTATTGCGTGTGGGCGTGGGAGTGGTGTATGATGGGGAGGCAGTCAGGGGGGGTGCGTGATCTGTGTGTGGGGGGAATTGGGGGCTTACTTGAGGCTTGCTTGCTTGCAAGCGGCCTCAAGGGAGCTGAGGGTGCTGCTGACTGACTGCATCGTCGGCAGATGATGAAAGAAATATAAATCCTCTGAGCTTCTTCCTTGAATGCTTCTGTGCGTGCCAGTGCCCGTCTGTGCCCGTTTGTGGTTGCCGGTCGGTGCATGTTTCCTCCGAACCTTGTCTGGATTTCCCTGTTCTAGTGTGTCACCGACAGCGCCGTTCCCCCTGTTCTCACTGCTTCCTTGATTGAAGCAGGCGCGTTTGGTTGGTGTGGGACCTCCCGGTTCCATCGGGGTAGTCATAGGGCTGGCTGAGTGCTGAGTTGAGCCGTTGCGAGAAATGTAGGGCTGTGCTGAGCTACAGGGGACCGCCTGTGGAATTTTCTCAACACACACGGCCTGGCCATGTAGCCTTCACCTGTGAGGAGAGGATACTCTCTACTCTCATTCATACCACTCTCTCGCCCTAAATGTCTGCCCCACCCCCACTCTCCACCCACCCCACCACCCCTCCCAGGCAGCGCGCATGCGGCACATATCAAGGGTGGATGGCAAGGCGTACTGTCTGAACCTCATAGACACGCCCGGCCACGTGGACTTCAGCTACCCACGAGGTGTCTCTTCATTCACCCCTTGTGCATGCAATGCAATCCCTCTTTCTGCGCCCAACCCACCCCCCCAGGCAGCGCGCATGAGGCACATATCAAGGGTGGACGGCAAGGCCTATTGCCTCAACCTCATAGACACGCCCGGCCACGTGGACTTCAGCTATGAGGTGTCCCGCTCGCTGGCTGCATGCGAGGGCGCCCTGCTGGTGGTGGACGCTTCTCAGGGCGTGGAGGCACAGACATTAGCAAATGTGTACCTGGCGATCGAGGGCAACCTGGAGATTATCCCAGTGAGTTTTGTGTAGACAATCTCGAGTGTGCTGTTTGGGTCAAGGGTGCCAGGTCTCAGTGTCGCGCTCGCTGGCTGCCTGTGAAGGAGCCCTGCTCGTGGTGGACGCGTCTCAGGGCGTGGAGGCACAAACGTTGGCAAATGTGTACCTGGCTATTGAAGGGAACCTGGAAATCATTCCGGTAGGTTTGAGCCTCTGAGGTTCAACTCTCGGGTGCTGCTGTCTGAGTCGGGTCTGGCCGCCTGCGGCGCAGTAGTTCGCTCGCTGGCTGCCTGTGAGGGCGCGCTGGAGGCACAGACAGACTCTGGCGAATGTCTGTCTACCTGGCGGTCGAAGGGAATCTGGACTGGAGATTATCCCAGTGAGGGCTAGTGGGTGAGGGTTTTGGGGTTCAGGGTTCAGCAGGGTTCAAGCTTCAAGGTGGCGTGGAGGCACATGCACGAGCAGGTTTGTGGAGAGGGCATCCGTGCTCCTCAACAGGGTCTCGTATCGTAGTCCTCTTTTCACCGCCCTTTTGCTCTCCCACTTGCCCAGGTGCTCAAATAATCTGATCTCCCAGGAGCCGATTTGGAGAGGGTGCGAGCAGATGTGGAGGAGGTGGTGGGGCTGGATGTGTCAGACGCCATCCTGTGCTGCTCTGACTGCATCCCTGCTCCCCATCCGTCTCTCACGCCCCTCTTCTCCCATCCTTCTCACTCCACACCACACTTGCTCAGGTGCACAACAAGATTGATCTCCCAGGGGCGGACCCAGAGAGGGTGCGAGCGGAGGTGGAGGAGGTGGTGGGGCTGGACGCGGCAGACGCCATCCTGTGCTCCGCCACGGAGGGTGTGGGCATTGAGGACATCCTCAAGGAGGGATAATGTGTTTTTCAACAGGCTGTTTGTCACGTTCCGCTTCCCACTGCCCTTCTCCTTCTCCTTCCCCACTTGCCCAGGTGCTCAAGAAACTCGACCTGCCAGGAGCCGATCCGGAAAGAGTACGGGCGGAGGTGGAGGAGGTGGTGGGGCTGGACGCGGCAGACGCCATTCTGTGCTCCGCCAAGGAGGGGTTACGTGGTACTTATCAGGCCGTTCATTCCCTCACGCACCCCAGGTTCTGAACAAAATTGACCTGCCAGGGGCGGACCCAGAAAGAGTATGGGCGGAGGTGGAGGAGGTGGTGGGGCTGGATGCGGCAGACGCCATCCTGTGCTGCTCTGAGAGTCCGAGTGCATCTCTGCTTCTCAACCATCTGTCACGTTCCTTGTTCCCTTATGCACCCCAGGTGCTGAACAAGATAGACCTGCCAGGGGCCGATCCAGAGCGCGTACGGGCAGAGGTGGAGGAGGTGGTGGGGCTGGATGCATCAGACGCCATCCTGTGCTCCGCCAAGGAGGGAGTGGGCATTCAGGACATCCTCGAGTCCATCATCGCCAAAGTGCCGCCCCCTGCTCCTACGAGAGACCAGCCGCTGCGCTGCCTCATCTTCGACAGGTGTGGAGGGTGGGAAGGATTGGGAGGGGCGGGAGGGGTTGGGAGGGGTGGCAGGGACTGAGTGTGTCATGCTCTCCTGTCAAAGACAAGGCACCACCACAGTGGGTGGGTGCGTAATCGCTGTGAGTGTGCATGCATGAGCACATGACTCTCTGAGCTGAGAGACAAAACACCATCCTGTGCTCCGCCAACCCAAGGAGGGCTCTTGAGACGTCTCAAAAGGAGCACTCAAAAGGAGATGTCGTGGGCATTCACGGCATCTTCAAAGCCGTCATCGCCAAAGTTCCGCCCGCACTGTCTCTCTCTTTTCACCCACCTCTCTGCTATCTGCCACAACTACTACCACGGCCCGCACCACCACAGTGTGATGCTCTCTTTTGTCTTTCCTCTTTCCCCACTCCCTCCGGCGATCCACACCAGCTACTACGACCCGCACCGGGGTGGGTGTGATAGTGTATTTCCACGTGGTGGACGGCGAGGTGCGCAAGGGGGCAGCGTGTGGTTCATGGCGAGTGAGTGGTTGCCTCGCTCTATGTTCCCCACGCAACCCCTTCTCTTTTCCCCCTCCCCTTCGCCCCCAATCTCTTGCAGCTACTACGACCCGTACCGGGGAGTAATAGTGTACTTCAGGGTGGCGGATGGGGAGGTGCGCAAGGGGGACAGCGTGCGGCTCATGGCGAGTGAACACCTCGCTCACTGCATCCCCTCCTCTCTTCCCCCCCCTCCCAACCCCTCCCCTTTCTTGCAGCTACTACGACCCATACCGCGGAGTGATAGTGTACTTCAGGGTGGTGGACGGGGAGGTGCGCAAGGGAGACAGCGTGCGGTTCATGGCGAGTGAACGCCTCGCTCACTGCTTGCCCTCCTCGTCTCCCCTCTCCCCACTCCTCCGTTGCTCCCATCAGTTACTACGACCCGTACCGCGGGGTAATTGTCTACTTCAGGGTGGTGGACGGGGAGGTGCGCAAGGGGGACAGCGTGCGGTTCATGGCGAGTGGCAAGCAGTACGAGGTGGACGAGCTGGGGGTGCTGTCACCCACTCAGATGCCCGTGGATTGCCTCTATGCTGGCGAGGTGAGGCACTTTATGCTGTAGTGGTGGTGAGCATGGGAGGGGTGGGTGCCTGCTGTGAACATGGTGAGTGAGGGGTGGGTGCTGAGTGGCAAGCAGTGCGAGGTGGACGAGCTGGGCGTGCTCTCGCCCACGCAGATGCCTGTTGACTGCCTCTATGCCGGCGAGGTAAGTTGATCTAGCTGCCTGCTGAGATCCTGGTTTACCCACACAGCCTCGTTCTGGTGGTGGTGGTGGATAGCAGGGGAGGGGTGGGTGGCGAGTGGCAAGCAGTACGAGGTGGACGAGCTGGGGGTGCGCTCGCCCACTCAGATGCCCGTGGATTGCCTCTATGCCGGCGAGGTGAGGCGATTCCAATGAGAGGTGCAATGGTCTAGCTGCGATTTAGTACGAGGTGTGGGTGGTGGGTGCAGTGCGAGGTGGACGAGCTGGGGGTGCTCTCGCCCACGCAGATGCCCGTGGATTGCTTGTATGCGGGCGAGGTGGGTGAAATAACTCAGATTAGATGTGAGTGAGGTGTGATGGGATGGGGAAAGCATGTGGGGTGAGTGAGACGATTTCGTGCAGGAGTGTGTGTGTCCCTGCTCTGATGGTCGTGGTGAGCATTGTGAGTGATTGCGGTAAGCACGCGGAGGGCCAGCAAGCAGCCAAAACATTACCTCTCTTAACCAAACCAGTGAGGGTTGCCCCTCTGCTTTCCCCTCGCTTCACGGGTGGGGTATCTGGCAGCGTCCATCCGTCAAGTGGCAGACGCGAGGGTGGGAGACACAATCACCCACGCGGGGGGAGCGAGCAAGGGCGGGCCACCGGCCAAGGAGTCGCTGCCTCCCGGGTACAGGGAGGCGGTGCCGATGGTGTTCTGCGGGCCAAGCATTGCTCACCCAACCAGTGAGGCTTGCCGCTCTCCCCTCCCCCATCCCCTCCCCTCGCGCCACAGGTGGGGTATCTGGCAGCGACTATTCGCCAAGTGGCAGATGCGAGGGTGGGAGACACAATCACCCACGCAGGAGGTGCAGGCAAGGGCGGCCCTCCCGCCAAGGAGTCCCTACCCGGGTACAGGGAGGCGGTGCCGATGGTGTTCTGCGGGCCACGAATTTCTCTCTTCAACCCAACCAATGAGGGTTGCCGTCCTCCCCTCCCCTCTCCCCTCCCCTCCCCTCTCCCCTCTCCTTCCCCCCCCCTTCTCCCCTCCCCTCTCGCCACAGGTGGGGTATCTGGCAGCGTCTATTCGCCAGGTGGCAGATGCGAGAGTAGGGGACACCATAACCCATGCAGGGGGAGCGGGCAAGGGTGGCCCACCAGCCAAGGAGTCGCTTCCCGGGTACAGGGAGGCGGTGCCCATGGTGTTGTGCGGGCCGAGCGTTGATCTCTCTTTCACCCATACAGTGAGGGTTTCTGCAATTTCCGCCCCTCTCCCGTCCCGTCTCTCACCCCCTCTCCCCTCCCCTCTCTTGCTACAGGTGGGGTATCTGGCAGCGTCCATCCGTCAAGTGGCAGATGCGAGGGTGGGAGACACGATAACCCACGCAGGGGGAGCGGGCAAGGGCGGCCCACCAGCCAAGGAGTCGCTACCCGGGTACAGGGAGGCGGTGCCGATGGTGTTCTGCGGGCCAAGCACTGATATCTATTTCACCCATACAGTGAGGGTTTCTGCTCTTTCCGCCCCTCTCCCCGCCCCTCTCCCCACCCGTCTCCCATCTCCACCCCTAACAGGTGGGGTATCTGGCAGCGTCCATCCGCCAAGTGGCAGATGCGAGGGTGGGAGACACCATAACCCATGCGGGGGGAGCGGGCAAGGGCGGCCCACCAGCTAAAGAGTCCCTGCCAGGGTACAGGGAGGCGGTGCCGATGGTGTTCTGCGGGCTCTTCCCCATCGACGCCGACCAGTTTACCGCGTTAAGGGAGGCGCTGGAGAAATTGCAGCTTAATGATGCTGCGCTGCAGGTGAGGAGAGAGGGGAAAAGAGAGTGGGAAGGGAGTGAGGAGGGAGGCGGTGCCGATGGTGTTCTGCGGGCTCTTCCCCATCGATGCCGACCAGTTCCCGGCTTTAAGGGAGGCGCTGGAGAAACTACAACTGAATGATGCTGCCCTGCAGGTAGGTTAGGGGATGGGGAAGGGGTGGGATGGGGGGGCTTGCATGTGGGGAGGAGGGAGGCGGTGCCGATGGTGTTCTGCGGGCTCTTCCCCATCGATGCCGACCAGTTCACGGCTTTAAGGGAAGCGCTGGAGAAGCTTCAGCTCATTGATGCTGCGCTGCAGGTGAGAATCATTAGGGGGAGAGTGGGGAGAGAGGGGAGGGAGTGGAGAGGGAGTTGGGAGAGTGGGTTGTTCCCGGCTCTCAGATAGGCGCTGGAGAAGCTGCAGCTCAATGACGCTGCCCTGCAAGTGAGGGGTGCTGGTGGGTTGGAGGGAGTGCCATGCAATGAAGGGCGCGGTAGAGAGTGGGTTGTTCCCGGCTCTCAGAGAGGCGCTGGAGAAGCTGCAGCTGAACGATTCTGCGCTGCAGGTCAGGGGGGAGTGGGTGACACAAAGGGAGATTAGGTGGATAGAACAGGCGGGGTGGTAATGAGGCACTCGTAAGTTCGCTGTCCCTATTTTTTAGTAGGGGCTTTGCTTGTGCGTACCTCTCTAACCGTATTCGATCCCAGCTTCATCCTTCTTTCCCTGTAGCTCTCTTTCACCGAAACATTCCTCCACTCCACCCTCCCCCCCCTCCTTCCGCTCCCCCCTTCAGCGTCCTTTCTCTTCTACCTTCCCTTCCCCTCAACTACCCCTCCTGTGGCTCTCCCTTCCTCCATCGTTTGTCTTCCGCTCTCTTGTCCCGCCAGTTTGAGCCGGAGAGCAGCAGTGCCATGGGCTTTGGCTTCCGCTGTGGCTTCCTGGGCCTGCTGCACATGGACGTGGTGCAGGTGAGGGGAGAGAGGCATTGTGGCATGCTGGCTTGGTGTAGTGCAGGTGAGGGGAGTGGTAGCAGCATAAAGGCATGGTGTAGTGCAGGTGAGGGGAGTGGTAGCAGCATAAAGGCATGGTGTAGTGCAGGTGAGGGGAGTGGTAGCAGCATAAAGGCATGGTGTAGTGCAGGTGAGGGGAGTGGTAGCAGCATAAAGGCATGGTGTAGTGCAGGTGAGGGGAGTGGTAGCAGCATAAAGGCATGGTGTAGTGCAGGTGAGGGGAGTGGTAGCAGCATAAAGGCATGGTGTAGTGCAGGTGAGGGGAGTGGTAGCAGCATAAAGGCATGGTGTAGTGCAGGTGAGGGGAGTGGTAGCAGCATAAAGGCATGGTGTAGTGCAGGTGAGGGGAGTGGTAGCAGCATAAAGGCATGGTGTAGTGCAGGTGAGGGGAGTGGTAGCAGCATAAAGGCATGGTGTAGTGCAGGTGAGGGGAGTGGTAGCAGCATAAAGGCATGGTGTAGTGCAGGTGAGGGAAGTGGTAGCAGCATAAAGGCATGGTGTAGTGCAGGTGAGGGGAGTGGTAGCAGCATAAAGGCATGGTGTAGTGCAGGTGAGGGGAGTGGTAGCAGCATAAAGGCATGGTGTAGTGCAGGTGAGGGGAGTGGTAGCAGCATAAAGGCATGGTGTAGTGCAGGTGAGGGGAGTGGTAGCAGCATAAAGGCATGGTGTAGTGCAGGTGAGGGGAGTGGTAGCAGCATAAAGGCATGGTGGTGACATGGTTTGCTGCGCATACACATCGTGCCGGAGAGTGAGAGGATTACTAGTTGCGTTGCATGAAGGCATTTCATGAGACCAGTGCAGCAATGGCAGACTTCTTTCCCAATGGTGTACTCTGCTCGTAAGCAGGTCAGTAGACAGGAGCAGCTAGAGCGAGAGTACGAGCCGTACCTGATCACGAGAGGCCCAGCATGGTGTACTGTACTGTGTGGTGAAGCCTCAAGATGGGTGGTTCATGAGTCAAGCACTCAGTTTGTCTTTTCCACCATGTATGCAATGTCTGTTCTGTGCTCAATAGGAGTGGCCAGAGCAATAGTACGGGCTCGACCTTATTACCACAGCTCCCAGTGTGGTGTACCATGTGGTGAAGCTTGATGGGTGGCTCATGCGTCAAGCACTCACTGTGTATTCCCCACTATGTATGCTTTACAGGAGCGGCTGGAGAGGGAGTACAGTTTAGATCTCATCACGACAGCCCCCAGCGTGGTGTACCGTGTGGTGAAGCGGGACGGGTCGATGGTGGAATGCTCCAACCCCGCTGTGCTCATGAGTCAAGCACTCACATTCTTCCTCCCCCATTTCTCCCCAACAGGAGCGGCTAGAGAGAGAGTACAGCCACGATCTTATCACGACGGCTCCAAGTGTGGTGTACCGTGTGGTGAAGCAGGACGGGTCGATGGTGGAGTGCTCCAACCCGGCTGACATGAAAGGGTCCTGAGTGAAGCACTCACATTCTCCCTCCCCTTCCCCTTGCCGTACCTCACAGGAGCGGTTGGAGAGGGAGTACAGTTTGGATCTGATCACGACAGCCCCCAGCGTGGTTTACCGTGTAGTGAAGCGGGACGGGTCGATGGTAGAGTGCTCCAACCCCGCTGACATGCCCGATGCCTCCATTCGCTCTGAGATCCAGGAGCCATACGTGCGGGTGAGTTCGACGAAGGGTGTGAGTAGACTCCCTCGATAGGGTTCACCACACCTCTTCCTGTGAGGGGTGAAGCGCGACGGGGCGGTGGTAAAGTGCTCTAACCCCGCTGACATTCCCGATGCCTCCATTCGCTCTGAGATGAGATCCAGGAGCCGTACGTGCGGGTGAGTGAGTGTGTACGGGTAGATGAGACGGGGATGGTGGTGCGGCTGTTGAGACGTCTCAAAGTCAAAAGCCCTCCGTGCGCTCTGAGATCCAGGAGCCCTACGTGCGGGTGAGTGAGTGTGTACAGGTAGATGGGGATGGTGGTGCGGCTGGCCATCCTCTCTTTCAAGCAAGCATTGCATAGTTAGCCACGCTCTTAGACCTGTTCCTGTCCTCTCTTCAACTCAACTCAACCCCCCTCACCAGCTGGACATTTTAACTCCCAAGGAGTACATCGGCACGCTCATGGATCTGGCACAGGAGAGGCGGGGCGATTAAAGGCCTGGATGCTCCCCATAGCCCTCACGCTCCATCCACTTCCCACCACCCACCCCACCACCCATCCCCTCACCTCATCAGCTGGACATCCTGACCCCCAAGGATTACATCGGCACGCTCATGGACCTGGCACAGGAGAGGCGGGGCGAGTTCGTGGAGATGAAGTATGTGACCGAGTCGCGCACCACCCTGTCCTATGACACACCGCTGGGCGAGGTGAGAGCAGGGGCAGTGGAGGAGTATGGGGTAATAGGTGTGGATGAGGGCAGTGGAGATGAAGTATGTGACCGAGTCGCGCACCACCCTGTCCTATGACACACTGCTGGGCGAGGTGAGAGCAGGCACGGACTGGGGATACTAAGGGGCACTGGGAGGGCAGAAGGGGGGGCGGAGGAAGGAGAGGTGGAGCAAGGTGGAGATGAAGTATGTGACCGAGTCGCGCACCACACTGTCCTATGACACGCCTTTGGGAGAGGTATGCGCAGGCACAAGGGGAAGGAGGGGGGCACTGGGTGGGAGACTAGCGGACAGTAGGGGTGCAGTGAGGGGCACTAGGTGGCAGTAGGGGGGAAGTGGAAGAAGGAGAGGCGGGGTGAGTTCGTGGAGATTATGTATGTGACTGAGTCGCTCACCGCACTGTCCTATGACACACCACTTGGAGAGGTGTGAGGATCAACGTAGGGGACTGGGGACACGAGGGGCCGTTGGGGAAGACTAGAGGGGACCACAAGGGCAGTAGGAGGAGTGAAGGAAGAAGAGGAAAGCAGGGCAAGTTTGTGGATATGAATGAAGTATGACACTGAGACCCGCACACGCTGTCTTGCATCAGAGAGGGAAGCGGGGCAAGTCTTGCGCACCACGCTGTCCTATGACACCCCGCTGGGCGAGGTGCGCAAGCGGGGCAGTGGGGGACAAAGGGGGGCAGTAGGTAGGTAGCGTTAGGGGAGAGTTAGAGGACCTAATCAACTCGCTCAAGAAGACGCTGTTTCGTGGAAGTGCTGCTGGGGGAAGGGCTAACCTGATTCGATCCCTCCTGCTTTTCTTCCATGTCCCTCCCCATGCCCTCTGCCTTTTTTTGCTCCTCCCGTGATGCACTGTGGCAGGTTGTGGGGGATTTCTTTGACCAGCTCAAGTCTCGCACCAAGGGTTACGCCAGCATGGAGTACAAAGTCATCGGGTACGCTGCTTGTACTGAGTCGGTTGGGCATGCTCATATGGAGTATAAAGTCACCGGTCATATTCCTTCGACACAGTACAAAGTTGCGCACCAAGGGTTACGCCAGCATGGAGTACAAAGTCATCGGGTACGCTGCTTGTACTGAGTCGGTTGGGCATGCTCATATGGAGTATAAAGTCACCGGTCATATTCCTTCCACACAGTACAAAGTTGCGCACCAAGGGTTACACCAGCATGGAGTACAAAGTTGCTGCTTGCGCGGAGTCAGTTGGGCATTCCATTATGAAGTGGAAAATCGTAGGGTTTGTCATATTGCGGAGCACAAAGTGGAAAAGAATGTCCCTCTTCACCCCACCCCAACCCACCGCCCCATGCCACCCTTCCCCACTTCACGTTCTGCAGCTACCGCAAGAGCAACCTGGTGAAGATGGACATTCGGCTCAACTGGGAGGCCCCTTTCCCTCTCCCTCTCCATCACATGCTTTCCACACCACTCCCCACCACTCTCCACCACTCCCCACCACTCTCCACCACTCCCCACGACTCTCTGCCACTCCCATCTCTACACCCCGCAGCTACCGCAAGAGCAACCTGGTGAAGATGGACATTCAGCTCAACGGGGAGGCTGTGGAGCCGTTGTCAGCCATCGTGCACCAGGAAAAGGTGGGTGAGAGGGTGAACTGCACATCAGTGCTGCTTTTATCTTTAGTGTTTTTTCCTTGCTGCTGCTGGATACAGAAACAAACACTCTAACCATGCCACGTTCCCAAACACTCTCTGGCCAGGCCTACGGAGTGGGCAGAGCACTCACACAGAAGCTCAAGGAGCTCATTCCGCGGCAGATGTTCAAAATCCCCATCCAGGTGTGTTCAGTGTTCACTGCTCGCGCAATCCAAGTTACATGGTATATTTGCTCTGCCGTTGTGGTCCTGTCAAGGTGACGCCCCTTAGTCTATGCACTGTCCCCATAACACTTCTCGTGCTCCATTCCTGAGGCATCCGTGCATGTAAGTATTTCTGCTTGTATGTGTGTTGGTTGTGTAAGTGTGTGAGCCTACTGCACAACTTGCTGCTTCCTTCTGACCTTGCGTTATCTTTAACATTTCTCGACCAGGCGTGTGTCGGAACCAAGGTCATTGCGAGTGAAACAATCGCAGCCATTCGGAAAGACGTTCTAGCCAAGTGCTATGGTGAGTGCATTCATGTTCCCATGCATGTCTGCTGATTCTTTATATTGCGAAAAAAAAAAATGTGCATGATGGGATGGTGTTCTGGTTGCAGGTGGTGACATTTCCCGAAAGAAGAAATTGTTGAAGAAGCAAGCAGCGGGGAAGAAGAGAATGAAAGCGCTAGGACGAGTTGAGGTGCCCCAAGATGCCTTCATGGCTGTGCTTAGACTTGAGAAGGAAAGCTTGTGATAAGACAATATGTTAAATATACTCTTATACAAGCAGCATCATGAATCCTGATACTTGATATTTTGGGGGGCTTATAGCTTGAAAAAGAGCATGAACGCCTTGTGGATATAAGTGTACTCGTGACAGATATTCGGCTTGTACATACAACGCACCAGGTCAGTCAGGTATGGAAACGTCACTCTTGGCGCCATGGTGAGGTTCGATTCGGTGATGGCTCGGCTGAACCTGCTTCCACATCTCGAATCTCGTTGGCTCCGAGATGGCGGTCAGGCCTCGCGCCAAATTCCGAGGCATCGCCGGCACGGGAGCCTCCCCACTGCCTGCTTTGGTTCGGATTTGGTTTGGGTAGATTGTGGTGGTGGTGGGTTGGGTGTGGTGTCCCGACCGAACCGTGTCGACGGTTAAAATAACATCTCCGAACCAGTTTGTAAGCCTGAAACCGCTCTGCAAAGCTATGTTTCCCTTCATATTCCAAAACTCCACCTCAATGTGGCCGTCGATGAAAGCATTCCTTTTTCACGCTGCCACGCAATTTTAGTAGGCTTATTACTATGTAGGAACCACCGCTACTGCGAGCTTTCTCGATGTCGGGTAATACCCCGCCACGAGCACCGACTTGCAGTTATTCCGCTATGTTGGCATTTACGTTCCTCGAGACGGCAGGGGTAGTTCATGTTTACGAAAAGAGTCGCTGGAGTACGACATGCGGGAGAACAGGACGTTCAAATCGGTAACGCGTTTTACTACTAACTTCAGTCCCCCGTGCGGTATTGAACTTCACTGCTGCCTTCCCCGCTGTCCTCTCCTCTACAGACAATTAAATTCTGAGTCCTGTCTGCGTTTAGAGCTGTCAAGCGCAGATGATGATCCGCGTTGCGACAAGCCTTCTGCTGGTTACATGCTTAAGCCTAACCGCCGCCGTCGCTTCAGAATGCGGCGGTCTGCCGGGGATACCTGGTCTAGTAACTCCCACCGCTGGCTGCGGCGCGACGGGCAGCACAGATACCCTTAGGAGCATCTTGGTCCAAGATGATCTGGAGAGGATTAGCTCCCAGCCGTCCGATCGGCAGCCGCACCTGCCGGCGCAGCGGCAACGACCCTGCGATTGCACGATCAACTCCGCAGGCAGCCCTTTCAGGCGAAGGCTTAGCCAGGTTGCGAAACCGTGCGATTGTGGTTACCATTCTGCTCGCAACCCCCCACGGCGAAAGCGAGAGCCGAGGAGCTCATTAGACATAGCTGCGGAAATGGAAACGGAAACGGAAACGGAAACGGAAACGGAAACGGAATCGGAAACCGGGTGGTATTCAGAGAAGCGGTATTCAAACTGGCGATACTTAAATTGGCGGTACTTAGAGGGGCAGTATTATAAGAGGCGGTACTTAGTGGAAATGACGCCAGTGGAGCCATTGGCTCAGAACCGCACGCGGAGAGTGGACCCTCTACAGCACTTTCAGTACTACGAGGGCGGCTGGGACCCCAGCAGCAAGTACTACTGGGCGGTACGTCATGTGTGCTTGTCCTGAGACGTCATGTAGGTGAGTTTTGACTCTTGAGACTTCATGCATGCGGGATTTGAGGCGTCTCACCACCTTGGTTGGCACGCGGAGAGTGGACCTTCTGCAGCACTTTCAGTACTACTAGGACGGCTGGGACCCCAGCAGCAAGTACTACTGGGCTGTACGTCATGTGTGCTTGTCCTGAGATTTGTCAGAACCTTAACAGCAAGTTCTACGAGGCGTGTTTTGAGTCGACTCAGAATGAGAGCCCTGTTTTGTTGTGAGTCGACTCAGAATGAGAGCCCTGTTTTGTTGTGAGTCGACTCAGAACCTTAACAGAAAGTTCTACGAGGGCGGGACGTCATGTTGCAGAAGGAGAGGGTATTGACTCTTGAGGTGTGTCACCTCCTCAGCACGCGGAGAGTGGACCCTCCCCTCTCCCTCTGCAGCACTTTCAGTACTACGAGGGCGGGTGGGTGGGACCCCAGCAGCAAGTACTACTGGGCGGTACGTCATGTGTGCTTGACCGGAGATGTGTCGTACGAAGGGACTACTGGGTTGGGTGCACGTGAATGCAGTTCCTTGCAACGTCTCAAAAGTTTACTACTGGGGGGTACGTCAAGTGTGATTGTCAGGGAATGTGTCATATCATACGGACGGACTGCTGGGTCGGTTGTACGCACGTGAATGCAGTTTTTGGCGCTCCTTTGTCTCAGAGAAATTCAGAGAAATGTACTCTCTGTGTATGCGCCGCTTCACTCGCGCAATGCAATGTACTCTCTTGGACTTGGGAGACGTCTCAAGAAGACTACTGCACTCTTGTGGAGTCGACTTCCCTCCTTCACGTGCTCACCCACAACTACCTTCCTTCCTCCTTAATCCGTCGCCCTTACTCTTCTCCCCATTCCTCTCCTCCCTCCCTCCTTCCCTTGCTTTCTTCCGCCTATCCCCTCCCTCCCCCCACCCCCCTTTTTTCCCGCCAGTCCGTGGCATGGGCGGGGATTTACGGTCTCATAATGGGGGCGGCATGGATCGTACTCGGTATAAGCATCCTCGCTTTTGCGCTCTGCGTGTGCCTGTTCTGCCGCAAACGCTGGAAAGAGCGTCTGGACGGCGACCCGCCTGGCTACACGCCCTCTCAGATCCGCGTGCCACTTGGCGCGCTCATATTCGCTGCTATATTCATCCTGTGAGTGGCCCAATCTGCAAAATTGCGTTTCTGTCGAAAGCGATGGAAAGAGCGGATGGACACTGACTGACCAGCCTGGCTACACGCCACGCCCTCTCGTTTGAAGTGGTGTTTTGTTTGAGACGTCTCAATCTCAAACCACTACTTCAAATCAAACACCTGGCTGGAAGGCCCGGATGGACACTGACCCACCTGGCTACACGCCCTCTCAAATCCGCGTGCCACTTGGCGCGCTCTTATCGGCTGCAATCATCATCCTGTGAGTGTGCCACTTGTCACGCTCTTATTGGCTGCAACCAACCATCCCATCATCATGTTACCCTTGTCTTGCATCCGTGTGTAATGTGTTTGCTTCATGCGGCCCTGGTTTGATCATTCCGGACTGGTCACATTCCTTTCCGTTCCTTTTCTTTCTCTTCCTTTCCTTTCCTTTCCTTTCTCTTCCTTTTCGTTCCTTACTTTTCTCCCACTCCTCCTCCTCCTCCTCCTCCTCCTCCTCCTCCTCCTCCTCCTCCTCCTCCTCCTCCTCCTCCTCCTCCTCCTCCTCCTCCTCCCTCATCTCTCCTCCCCCAATCCTTGTCACGTACCGCAGTTCCATGCAGTTCACACTCGCCACCACGCAAGCCCTTGCAGTTTTTGAATCCTATTCCCTTCTCCTTCCGCCTTCTCCCTGCATCACCCAGGGTGGGAGTGGCGCTGCTGTTAGCAGGGGGGGTGCAGTTCCAGAGCACCTATCGCAGTGCCACGCAGTTTACACTCGCCACCACGCAAGCCCTCGTGGGCGCCACTCACAACCTCTCCCTCACACTGCAACGCTCTGCCAACACCACCGTCTTCAATGCTATGGTTCCCCGTAAGGCCACACACCTGCTCCTTATACACTCACTCCATCTCACACGTCTGTTCCACTCACAACCTCTCCCTCGCGCTGCAACGCTCCGCCAACACCACCGTCTTCGGTGCCGTGGTTCCCCATATGCGCTCACGCTCCCTTACTCTCACACTATTTATGCTCTAATTTTGCGCGTCAGTCACTCCTGTTGTCACAGTCTCTCGCTCGCGCTGCAGCACTGTGCCAGCACCATCCCTCCCCGTATGCTCCCACTCTGCCCACTTTCCTTAGCTCCCACTTTCCCTGTGCTTTTGCTTTCCCTGTCTCCACCTCCCCCACCCAGCCACCACACAGCAGGCGGTGGTGCAGGGAGCAGTGCAGGCGAAGAGCAGGGCGGGTGACATTGAGGCGAGGATGTGATGTGAACAGCATTGTGATTTCACTTACAGTTCATCCCATCCCGGATTTCTCTATCCCTCCCTGCTCCTCTCTCATCCAGCCGACACCCAGCAGGCGGTGGTGCAGGGAGCAGTGCAGGCGAAGAGCAGGGCTGGTGACATTGAGGCGAGGATGTGATGTGAACAGCATTGTGAGTCCACTCACAAGTCATCCCATCCCATCCTATCCCACCTTTCTCTATCCCTCCCTGTACCTCTCTCATCCAGCCGCCACGCAGCAGACGGTGCTGCAGGGAGCAGCAAATGCGGAGAGGATGGCAGATGACATCCAGGCGAGGATTGTGAACAGCATTGAGAGCTTACTCCCTGTCCCCCATCCCCCCATCCAGCCGCCACGCAGCAGACGGTGCTGCAGGGAACAGCAAATGCGGAGAGGATGGCAGATGACATCCAGGCGAGGATTGTGAACAGCATCGACCGGCTTGATGGATACGTCAAGATCGTGTGAGTTGGGGATGGGTGCATGCATGCATGGTGGGATGGGATGGGTGCATGGTGGGATGGTGGGGCGGTGGATGGGATGGGAGGGACGGCTTGCTGGTGCGTGATGGGAGGCACGTGTATAGAGGGTATTTTTTTAGACGTCTCAAAAGTACCCTCTATACACGCGGATGGGAGGGACGGCTTGCTGGTGCTTGATGGGAGGCAAGGATCGTGAACGGCATTGACCGGCTAGATGGATACGTCAAGATCGTGTGCGTGGGTGGGTGCATGCATGGTGGGATGGTGGATTGTGGGATGGGTGGAAGATTGATGGCTGGTGGGACAAGGGTTGTGAGCGTCACCTCAATTTCTGTTTTCCCTCACTCACTTCGATTTTTGCCTTCCCCCACTCACCTCACTTTTCCACTTCCGTTGGAAACTTGATCACCAGTTTGTGAGCTGTGTCAGACAGGCCCATGTCAACTCCCCCAACCCATCCTGAGACACTGTCCTTTGAGTCGACTCAAAAGTCACCTCAGACCCATGTCAACTCCCCCAACCCATCCTGAGACACTGTCCTTTGAGTCGACTCAAAAGTCACCTCAGACCCATGTCAACTCCCCCAACCCACCCTGAGACACTGTCCTTTGAGTCGACTCAAAAGTCACCTCAGACCCATGTCAACTCCCCCAACCCACCCTGAGACACTGTCCTTTGAGTCGACTCAAAAGTCACCTCAGACCCATGTCAACTCCCCCAACCCATCCTGAGACACTGTCCTTTGAGTCGACTCAAAAGTCACCTCAGACCCATGTCAACTCCCCCAACCCATCCTGAGACACTGTCCTTTGAGTCGACTCAAAAGTCACCTCAGACCCATGTCAACTCCCCCAACCCACCCTGAGACACTGTCCTTTGAGTCGACTCAAAAGTCACCTCAGACCCATGTCAACTCCCCCAACCCATCCTGAGACACTGTGAATCCCTCACCATGCTCCCCCGCTTTCCTTCACAGCACAATCACCATCCTCCTCATTGGCTCACCCACTACTCTGTGAGATGTGTCAGTCTGTCAGACAGACCCACGTCAACCCCCCCTCCCACCCTGAGACACTGTCAATTCTGCACCTTTCTCCCCCAACTCCCTTCACTGCACCATCACCATCCTCGCCATCAGCTCGCTCACTGCCCTGTGAGCTGTGCCAGACAGACAGACCCACATCAAGGCATCTACCCACCCTGACACACTTGTCTGTCCCTCACCATGCCTCCCCACTTCCCTTCACAGCACCATCACCATTCTCGTCATTGGCTCAGTCACTGCCCTGCTCGTGCTGCTGGGTCTGGGTGAGTGCTCTTGGTGAGTGCTGCTGGTGAGTGGTAAGGGGGATTGGTTGAGTGCTGCTGGTGAGTGGTAAGGGGGATTGGGTGAGTGCTGCTGGCGAGTGGTAAGGGGGATTGGGTGAGTGCTGCTGGCGAGTGGTAAGGGGGATTGGTTGAGTGCTGCTGGTGAGTGGTAAGGGGGATTGGTTGAGTGCTGCTGGTGAGTGGTAAGGGGGATTGGGTGAGTGCTGCTGGTGAGTGGTAAGGGGGATTGGTTGAGTGCTGCTGGTGAGTGGTAAGGGGGATTGGGTGAGTGCTGCTGGTGAGTGGTAAGGGGGATTGGGTGAGTGCTGCTGGCGAGTGGTAAGGGGGATTGGTTGAGTGCTGCTGGTGAGTGGTAAGGGGGATTGGTTGAGTGCTGCTGGTGAGTGGTAAGGGGGATTGGGTGAGTGCTGCTGGTGAGTGGTAAGGGGGATTGGGTGAGTGCTGCTGGTGAGTGGTAAGGGGGATTGGGTGAGTGCTGCTGGTGAGTGGTAAGGGGGATTGGTTGAGTGCTGCTGGTGAGTGGTAAGGGGGATTGGTTGAGTGCTGCTGGTGAGTGGTAAGGGGGATTGGTTGAGTGCTGCTGGTGAGTGGTAAGGGGGATTGGTTGAGTGCTGCTGGTGAGTGGTAAGGGGGATTGGGTGAGTGCTGCTGGTGAGTGGTAAGGGGGATTGGTTGAGTGCTGCTGGTGAGTGGTAAGGGGGATTGGGTGAGTGCTGCTGGTGAGTGGTAAGGGGGATTGGTTGAGTGCTGCTGGTGAGTGGTAAGGGGGATTGGGTGAGTGCTGCTGGTGAGTGGTAAGGGGGATTGGGTGAGTGCTGCTGGTGAGTGGTAAGGGGGATTGGTTGAGTGCTGCTGGTGAGTGGTAAGGGGGATTGGGTGAGTGCTGCTGGTGAGTGGTAAGGGGGATTGGTTGAGTGCTGCTGGTGAGTGGTAAGGGGGATTGGGTGAGTGCTGCTGGTGAGTGGTAAGGGGGATTGGGTGAGTGCTGCTGGTGAGTGGTAAGGGGGATTGGGTGAGTGCTGCTGGTGAGTGGTAAGGGGGATTGGTTGAGTGCTGCTGGTGAGTGGTAAGGGGGATTGGTTGAGTGCTGCTGGTGAGTGGTAAGGGGGATTGGGTGAGTGCTGCTGGTGAGTGGTAAGGGGGATTGGTTGAGTGCTGCTGGTGAGTGGTAAGGGGGATTGGGTGAGTGCTGCTGGCGAGTGGTAAGAGGGATTGGGTGAGTGCTGCTGGTGAGTGGTAAGGGGGATTGATTGAGTGCTGCTGGTGAGTGGTAAGGGGGATTGGTTGAGTGCTGCTGGTGAGTGGTAAGGGGGATTGGGTGAGTGCTGCTGGTGAGTGGTAAGGGGGATTGGTTGAGTGCTGCTGGTGAGTGGTAAGGGGGATTGGTTGAGTGCTGCTGGTGAGTGGTAAGGGGGATTGGTTGAGTGCTGCTGGTGAGTGGTAAGGGGGATTGGGTGAGTGCTGCTGGTGAGTGGTAAGGGGGATTGGTTGAGTGCTGCTGGTGAGTGGTAAGGGGGATTGGGTGAGTGCTGCTGGTGAGTGGTAAGGGGGATTGGGTGAGTGCTGCTGGTGAGTGGTAAGGGGGATTGGTTGAGTGCTGCTGGTGAGTGGTAAGGGGGATTGGGTGAGTGCTGCTGGTGAGTGGTAAGGGGGATTGGTTGAGTGCTGCTGGTGAGTGGTAAGGGGGATTGGGTGAGTGCTGCTGGTGAGTGGTAAGGGGGATTGGGTGAGTGCTGCTGGTGAGTGGTAAGGGGGATTGGTTGAGTGCTGCTGGTGAGTGGTAAGGGGGATTGGGTGAGTGCTGCTGGTGAGTGGTAAGGGGGATTGGTTGAGTGCTGCTGGTGAGTGGTAAGGGGGATTGGGTGAGTGCTGCTGGTGAGTGGTAAGGGGGATTGGGTGAGTGCTGCTGGTGAGTGGTAAGGGGGATTGGGTGAGTGCTGCTGGTGAGTGGTAAGGGGGATTGGTTGAGTGCTGCTGGTGAGTGGTAAGGGGGATTGGTTGAGTGCTGCTGGTGAGTGGTAAGGGGGATTGGGTGAGTGCTGCTGGTGAGTGGTAAGGGGGATTGGTTGAGTGCTGCTGGTGAGTGGTAAGGGGGATTGGGTGAGTGCTGCTGGCGAGTGGTAAGAGGGATTGGGTGAGTGCTGCTGGTGAGTGGTAAGGGGGATTGATTGAGTGCTGCTGGTGAGTGGTAAGGGGGATTGGTTGAGTGCTGCTGGTGAGTGGTAAGGGGGATTGGGTGAGTGCTGCTGGTGAGTGGTAAAGAAGGCTTGGTGACTGCTGCGTGGTAAGGGGGATTGGGTGAGTGCTGCTGGTGAGTGGTAAGGGGGATTGGGTGAGTGCTGCTGGTGAGTGGTAAGGGGGATTGGTTGAGTGCTGCTGGTGAGTGGTAAGGGGGATTGGTTGAGTGCTGCTGGTGAGTGGTAAGGGGGATTGGTTGAGTGCTGCTGGTGAGTGGTAAGGGGGATTGGTTGAGTGCTGCTGGTGAGTGGTAAGGGGGATTGGTTGAGTGCTGCTGGTGAGTGGTAAGGGGGATTGGTTGAGTGCTGCTGGTGAGTGGTAAGGGGGATTGGTTGAGTGCTGCTGGTGAGTGGTAAGGGGGATTGGTTGAGTGCTGCTGGTGAGTGGTAAGGGGGATTGGGTGAGTGCTGCTGGTGAGTGGTAAGGGGGATTGGTTGAGTGCTGCTGGTGAGTGGTAAGGGGGATTGGTTGAGTGCTGCTGGTGAGTGGTAAGGGGGATTGGGTGAGTGCTGCTGGTGAGTGGTAAGGGGGATTGGTTGAGTGCTGCTGGTGAGTGGCAAGGGGGATTGGGTGAGTGCTGCTGGTGAGTGGTAAGGGGGATTGGGTGAGTGCTGCTGGTGAGTGGTAAGGGGGATTGGTTGAGTGCTGCTGGTGAGTGGTAAGGGGGATTGGGTGAGTGCTGCTGGTGAGTGGTAAGGGGGATTGGTTGAGTGCTGCTGGTGAGTGGTAAGGGGGATTGGTTGAGTGCTGCTGGTGAGTGGTAAGGGGGATTGGGTGAGTGCTGCTGGTGAGTGGTAAGGGGGATTGGTTGAGTGCTGCTGGTGAGTGGTAAGGGGGATTGGGTGAGTGCTGCTGGCGAGTGGTAAGAGGGATTGGGTGAGTGCTGCTGGTGAGTGGTAAGGGGGATTGATTGAGTGCTGCTGGTGAGTGGTAAGGGGGATTGGTTGAGTGCTGCTGGTGAGTGGTAAGGGGGATTGGGTGAGTGCTGCTGGTGAGTGGTAAGGGGGATTGGTTGAGTGCTGCTGGTGAGTGGTAAGGGGGATTGGTTGAGTGCTGCTGGTGAGTGGTAAGGGGGATTGGTTGAGTGCTGCTGGTGAGTGGTAAAGAAGGCTTGGTGACTGCTGCGTGGTAAGGGGGATTGGGTGAGTGCTGCTGGTGAGTGGTAAGGGGGATTGGGTGAGTGCTGCTGGTGAGTGGTAAGGGGGATTGGTTGAGTGCTGCTGGTGAGTGGTAAGGGGGATTGGTTGAGTGGTGCTGGTGAGTGGTAAGGGGGATTGGTTGAGTGCTGCTGGTGAGTGGTAAGGGGGATTGGTTGAGTGCTGCTGGTGAGTGGTAAGGGGGATTGGTTGAGTGCTGCTGGTGAGTGGTAAGGGGGATTGGTTGAGTGCTGCTGGTGAGTGGTAAGGGGGATTGGTTGAGTGCTGCTGGTGAGTGGTAAGGGGGATTGGTTGAGTGCTGCTGGTGAGTGGTAAGGGGGATTGGTTGAGTGCTGCTGGTGAGTGGTAAGGGGGATTGGGTGAGTGCTGCTGGTGAGTGGTAAGGGGGATTGGTTGAGTGCTGCTGGTGAGTGGCAAGGGGGATTGGGTGAGTGCTGCTGGTGAGTGGTAAGGGGGATTGGGTGAGTGCTGCTGGTGAGTGGTAAGGGGGATTGGTTGAGTGCTGCTGGTGAGTGGTAAGGGGGATTGGTTGAGTGCTGCTGGTGAGTGGTAAGGGGGATTGGGTGAGTGCTGCTGGTGAGTGGTAAAGAAGGCTTGGTGACTGCTGCGTGGTAAGAGGGACTGGGTGAGTGCTTCTGGTGAGTGGTAAGGGGGACTGGGTCGATGCGGAGTGCTAAGGGAAAACTTTATCAGTGATGTGTGCTAGGGAATTTACAGGTAGGAGGAGAGGGCATGTTGCTGGGTGCTATGAGGTGGCGAATTTTGTGCCTGTTCAGTGACTGATTCTCTGTAGGTGATTTTTTAGGTGATGTTGTATGTGATATTTTAATCCCTACAGAGTGTCTCAGAATTCACATAGGTACCGAGTCTTGCTGTGGAAACTCTAGCACGCATCTCAGGGCATTGGTTCGAATCCACGTGAAATGAGACAAGTTTTGAGGCGCCAAAAAAATGGTTCGAATCAAACCCACATACTCTGATCCTTTCACAATCCAATCCAAACCCTTGCAATCCAAGTCTTACTTATCCAAGTAGTCACTCTTCTGTCCACCTTTCCTCTCCCTTCTCTCGCTCACCCATTTGTTCTGCAGTTGCTGGATTTCTCCAGTGGTCGGTTGCATCACACATGTAAGAGTCTCGCCTGCTCTTAGATGAAACATCACACATGTAAGGGTTGCAGGGTGTGAAACATGCAGTTGCAGTTGCTGGATTTCTCTAGTGGTCGGTTGCATCACACATGTAAGTAAGGGTGTGTTTTGCTCGTAGACATAAGGGCGACCTTTGACACAATAGAAGGGCGACTTCTTTGCTCAAGGCCCACCTCGCTCACGGATAGAGGGGCTGCAGTGCAGGTAGTGTGTGCAACATACACATGCAGTGGCCAGGTTTGTACAATGGTTGGTTGCATCACTAAAGAGTGTATGTTGCATGTGTGAAACATACACATGCAGGCAGTGGCCGCCCGGGTTTCTACAATGGTCGGTTGCATTGCATCACACATGTCAGAGTCACAGTCTTTTAGCAGAGTAGTAGGGTGTTTTTGAGAGTTCTCAAAAACACCTTGCATCGCACATGTCAGAGTCAGAGTCTTTTACCAGAGTTGTTTTTATGAATTCTCAATAGCATCGCACATGTATTGTATGTAAGGGCCATCCAGCAGGGATGTACAGTGCTTCCGAGTAGGTGTGTGATATAAGGGGGTTTTTGAGACGTCTCAAAAGCTCCCTTTAATCACGAGGGACGTACAGTGCTTTCCTACTGGAAGGGCCTCCCTGCTGGGCCTTCAAGTAGGTATTACATATTTCGCTGGCATTATGTCCGACCGAGGCTCGTGCTTTCTCCCAGCGAGTCGTTTCATCCTCTCCTCTGCTCTGCTCTGCTGTTGCTCTGCCTTTTTTGTCCCTTTTTAAACAGACTCGTTAGTGTCATTTGGGCTATGGGGTTCATCACGTGGTGCACTGTCACCCTCTGCCTGCTCTCCACTCTGTGAGTGCTGCTACTTGTGACATGCGTACATTACATGCTGCTTCTGGTGATATCATCTAGTGCTGCTACTGATGGAATGCTTAAAGTGCTGCTAATGATGATACGTTAAGTGCCAGAACTGGTAATGCTGGTGGAGTGTTAACTCCTGCCACTAGTAACCCCCTATCTCCTAAGTTCTGGTTGCCTGTAGAAGGGGCCTCACAACAACCAGTACTGGTGGGGTAATACGAGCTGGTCTCCACCATCCTTTTCCATCCCCCTCCATCCCCCTCCACTGCACTCTACTCCTCCCTCGCAGCTTTGCGGGGGACACGAGTGCAGCCATGTGGCAGGTGTCACAGCAGGACCCAGTAGCCATGGTCGCCCCATGAAACAACACCCTCTCAACCGCTTTCTACCCCTCTCCACCGTGCTTCACCCCTCTCCACCGCTCTCCACCCCTCACATGCAGCTTTGCGGGGGACACGAGTGCGGCCATGTGGCAGGTGTCACAGCAGGACCCAGTAGGCAACTCCACCATGCAGCAGTGGCTGCCGTGCGCCCGGGCAAGCGACGCGCGCCAGGCCATCAACACCACCGTCACTGCTCTCTCCGCATCGATTGCGCTGCTCAACACGTCCGTTGTCACACACTATCCCCAGGTGAGCACCTCTCGAATCACCCATGCGATTCCCCCTTGGGTGTAACAGTGGCTGCCGTGTGCCAGGACAAGCAACGTTTCCCTCCTTCCATTCCTCTTCTCCTCTTCCATTCCTCTTCGCCTCTTCCATTCCTCTTCTCCTCTTCCATTCCTCTTCTTCTCTTCCATTCCTCACCTTGTCTCTTGTGGTGGGCAGCTGTTGACTGCAGTCAACGCCACTGGCATCTGCAGCCCCTACGCGGTCGGCGGCGCTGACCTCAGCTACAACGTCACCTCCTGCCCGCCCGGCACTCTGCCGCCCGCTGCATTCTTCCAGGTGATATTCTGAGACTTTATAAATCGTCTTATGTCTCAATTATTCAAGTCAAAACTTCACCTGGGGTGAAGCTTGTTGAAATGGCTGGTCCGCAAATGCGGGGGTTGCTCAAATGTGGATGCTTTTCAGCTGGCTGTTGTTTTCTTTGCTTCAAGCCTACTACACGCACGCAGCTCACTGAGCTATGTCTGGATCTTGCGGGGGTTGCTCAAATGTGGATGCTTTTCAGCTGGCTGTTGTTTTCTTTGCTTTAAGCCTACTACACGCACGCAGCTCACTGAGCTATGTCTGGATCTTGCGGGGGTTGCTCAAATGTGGATGCTTTTCAGCTGGCTGTTGTTTTCTTTGCTTTAAGCCTACTACACGCACGCAGCTCACTGAGCTATGTCTGGATCTTGCGGGGGTTGCTCAAATGTGGATGCTTTTCAGCTGGCTGTTGTTTTCAGGCGCGCCGCCTCAGAGACGCTTCTTTAATCACATCGGTTTACACATTGATTGCCTTGCAGGGAGTTTTTGAGAATTCTCAAAAACTCCTCACATCGGTTTACACATAAATTGCCTTGCGAGGCCAACACATAATGTCTCCCTCCAACCCTGCCTCCCCTCCCCTCCCTTCACACACCCTGTGGCTTCCGTGTCTTCCCCCTCTTCCCTCCGCTAAGCCCCCTCCCTTACAGTCGCTCACCGCGTTCGCCTGCACAAACGGCACGTGCAAGGTGCATTTCCGCAATGGCAAAGTCGCGGTGCTGCAAGTGCCTGAAGCAGCTATATTGGTGCGACTTTTGAGAATTCTCAAAAGTCGCACCGAGAATTCTCAAAAGTCGCACCAATATTGCAAGGTGTATTTCCCCTATGGCAAAGTCGCGGTGCTGCAAGTGCCTGAAGCAGCTTCACACACACCAACACACCCCCTCCCCTATCCCCCCTCCCAGGCACTCACCGTATTCGCCAGCCTCAACGGCACATGCCAGGTGCATCATCCTAACGGCACAGTCACGCTGCTGCAAGTGCCCCAAGCAGCTCTCACTGACCCTGAGACTGCCTCCACTGCCCTCACACGCCTCGTGGCCCACCCCCTGCCTCCTCCCTCCCTCCCCTCCCCCACCTCCCCCCCACAGGCGCTCACCACACTGCCATGCACCACTGGTACATGCCAGGTGAATCATCCCAACGGAACAGTCACGCTGCCGCAAGTGCCCCTAGCGGCTCTCACTGACCTTGTTGACTGGCTTAGGTTGGCTTGGATTGACTTGGTTGACTGGCTTAGGTTGGCTTGGATTGACTTGGTTGACTGGCTTAGGTTGGCTTGGATTGACCTGGGTTGACTGGCTTAGGTTGGCTTGGATTGACCTGGGTTGACTGGCTTAGGTTGGCTTGGATTGACCTGGGTTGACTGGCTTAGGTTGACTTGGATTGACCTGGGTTGACTGGCTTAGGTTGACTTGGATTGACCTGGGTTGACTGGCTTAGGTTGGCTTGGATTGACCTGGGTTGACTGGCTTAGGTTGGCTTGGATTGACCTGGGTTGACTGGCTTAGGTTGGCTTGGATTGACCTGGGTTGACTGGCTTAGGTTGACTTGGATTGACCTGGGTTGACTGGCTTAGGTTGACTTGGATTGACCTGGGTTGACTGGCTTAGGTTGGCTTGGATTGACCTGGGTTGACTGGCTTAGGTTGGCTTGGATTGACCTGGGTTGACTGGCTTAGGTTGGCTTGGATTGACCTGGGTTGACTGGCTTAGGTTGGCTTGGATTGACCTGGGTTGACTGTTGAGGCAAAACTCCTTGTGGCCTCCGTGCCGGTGCTGCTTCAGATCGCCAACTGCACCTATCCTATGTGAAGGAGATCTGCGAGGTACGTTGGTTGACTGGGGTTGACTTGGTTGGCTTGGGCTGACTTGGTTGACTTGGGTTGACTTGGGTTGACTTGGGGATCCTCCCCTATCCTTCCCCCATCCTCCCCCATTCTCGTATCTCCCCTGCCCTCTCCCTGGATGGAGAGGCAGGGAGGGCGAGGGCGAGGGCCTCATCGTCATCTCAGTCGCATCCATGCTCCTCGCCCTCGCCCTCGCCCTCGCCCTCGCCCTCGCCCTCGCCCTCCCCGCCTCTCCATCCCCCCCATCTCCCCCCTTCCTCCCTCCTTTCCCTCCCCAGTGAGCCTTTGTTCCAGCCCTAACTCACCTCCCCTACCTCTCTACAGCCAACATAGCCCCATTCTCCCCCGTCCTCTCCACACTCCCTTGCTTCCCCCTTCCCCCTGCCCCTTCCCAGTACGCATCATCGCTAGCAAACGACATGGAGAGGGATTTCAGCATGCTGTGGTGGGGCTTCATCGTCATCTCGATTGCCTCCATGCTCCTCGCCCTCGCCCTCCCCGTCTACATCTTCCGCTCTGCTCACCCGCTAGCCCTAGTCCCTGGTGACTCCAGCCTCGCTTCTCCTTCCCACGCTCCCCTTGATCGCCCTTCTCCGCCTGGTGCTGCTGATGGCATGCCTTCTGCTGCCACTGGCTCGGCTGGTGCAGCTGATGGGATGCCTCAGATGGAACATTTGCAGCTTCAAGAGGAAAGAAAGGACCAATCGTCACTTGCCAGGTGTGCCAGCACTTCTTCCTGTTACTCTTTCCCTTGATAATGTGCTCCCTCCCTTGTTTTTGTGCTTTCTCTTCTTTCTGTGCTCTTTTCCCTCGTTTCTGTGCTGTTCCCGTTCTTCCTGTGTCTTTTTTGTTTGTTTGCTCTCCATCTGTAATCCCCTCCTTTGTCCTGTGCTCTCTGTGCACCTTCTGTGCCTTCTCTTTTCATCTCATCCTCATTTCTTGTTCCCATATTTCCACTCTGTTTTTGCATGCCCTGCTGTCCTTTTGCTCACCCAACCATCATCTCAATCCCTTCTCCAGGGACAAAGCACCTGGTCTTCCTCCTCTAACATTCACATCCGTATCCTCTTCAGGGGGTGACTCTCTTCCGTCCACATCATTGTCCTTCACACGGCTCAGTTTACTCGTGGAAGTAACCTGCTTTCTCTTGTACAGTAGGAAAGCATAATTGTATCCTATCCAATTTACAGAAGCTTGGTCTTCCAGTTGTTGACGCAACTAAATGCAATATCGGCAATCAGTGCTTAAAAGAAGAATATGTCAACGGGATATTGAATTAACGGGAATAATTAATTATGCGTTCCACTTGATGATTGGATTGTACATGTGATGGATCCAGCCAGCAGTAGTGCTATAATAACACTCTGAACGGGTCAGCTGAAACCGGGTATGACAGCTCATGTCTCCTGAGTCGTTGAAGCTCACAGCTTGACGCATGCAAGCAAAACCATCGCCGTGAATTGCGGGTGCACTGACACGATCACCCTCCCACCTATTTCATGATCAGCATCTACGCTTTCTGTCGTTTTATTCCTTCTTCGTCTAGTAACCAGCCACTTCTCGTTTCTCGTGACGTGAAGTGCTCGCCATTTTTCCGAACGATTCCGTCTCGACAGCAGGAATTGAGCATAGTCGTGTTGAAGCTTTGCGAAGCTAGGTGACTCAAAATTCTTTCGGGCTTTCCCGTTCTGTGCTCGCGCCATCTCGACAACTCTTCTAGTTCCTCTGAACATTTGTTGAATTTCCTTACATATTACTGGGTCTATCAACCTTTAGCGATGTCGACAGGAACAGAGACTCCAGCAGATGTCCATGCTCCTCGCAACCTGTCCGCAAATCCAGAATTGGGTCCCTTGTCGTCCAAAATACTGCCTCACCTATTCAAATTGTGAGAAGGGACAGCTGCTTCTAATTTTTATCACTTTCTTCTGAAAATGGACCATTACCGTAAATCCTTGCTCTCGTGCACGTTGGCAGGTATGGCTGCTCTGCAAGAGATGGGGATTTCGAAATTTACTCTCCGGACGCGAAATTTGACGATCCCCTAATGTCAGCTCAAGGGTACGTCGTCGTTTTTCGCACTGCAGGCTCACCACCCTCGTTGTCAGAGATTTGCTGAAACCAGCAGCTGTCTGTGTCTTGCCTGTCTGTATCCTACACTTTTAGGTTGAATCAGATCAAGTCAGCCTTTTACTCCATGCAAGTGGTGGGTTGACTGCCTCTTGTTGAGTCATTCCTGTTTGGCATTAGAGCATAATATGAGTGCTGAGTCGTCATCGTTTGATCACCGTTGTTGGCAATTTTTTCAGCTGTTCCAAGAGGGGAAGATTGTGGAGTACACTTTAGAAGAGACATCAACAGGAGAAGGCTCAGGACTTGTAAGTTGATACAGAGTGCCATGTTGTGAGCTCAAACTTGCAACAAACTGTTAGAGTTTGCTTATTGGCTTTTTTTTTTTGGGTGAATGGCAGGTGGTCCTGGACAATAAGCAGAATTACAAGGTCTGGGGCAGGCCTTTCGATGTTGATTCGAGAATCCAACTCAAGGTATCAATTAAAAACACTTTTAAGATTTGGGTTCTGGTATCAGGGGTCTCATTCGTTTGGCATTTTAGGCTTAATAAGTGCATTCATTCTCCCTGTATGCAGGTCGAAGGAGGGAAGGTGGTTCACCACGAAGATTTGTGAGTTATATTGCACCACGTACCACTCCTAACATCTTATCAACGGGTCTATAAGATATCGGCCGTGGTAGTGTGTACGTTATCTTGTTCTGTGCTTAGCACTACCGTATGTTTTACATGTGTTCACATGTGCAGGTGGAACAAGAAGCCTTTATGGTCAGATCCCACCAGGGGCGTTATTGGATGGCTGGGCTACACTTGGAGACGAGGTGCGATGATCACAACAGACGTGCTTATGGGCAGAGGAAAGGATCCAAAAGGGAGGGCATAATGGATGCATAATTGCAATTTGTGGTGAACGAGTCTACTGCTGCAGATACCTGGACTACGGTAGTCTCAGCGTTTTGTCCTTGTATGGTACCAAGTTTTTTTGCATGCATTTCTGTACCAAAGCTGATGATGAATCAGATGGCCTGCGTGGAACAGAACAAGAATGCAAAAGGTGTTATTACTCTCATAACCACCCTGTTGGGTATGCACAAACTGCACGATTGCCATCTACCGAATTCTAATTGTGAATCTACATAGGGATACATCTTGTTGGAAACAAATAACTCTAAGCGCCTCTGTCGTGTCGAAACACCAAGTCAGAAGCGAAGCGAAGCATATCGAAACACTGGCGAGTCAACCCTCGGAGGTTGAGCAGTTGCTGGAGGTTATGCGAAAGTCAAAGGTCAGCGACCTTTGACCTGACAAGTACAGCGCGACAGCAAGGACACACAACTGACTCGTTACAGAGCAGTTGCCCGAGTCGTCACTGTATCGGACCGCAACAGCAAACAGTAAAACAGTTGGAACCGTATCTCTTCGTATTCCTTGTACTCTTATATAATCTTGTATCTCTTTGCTTTAATTAATCTACTTTGCCCTCACATACTAGCGCAAGGTGGTTCACAACTCTTCATTAAACGCTTCCGCTACTACATCAGTTCTACCCAGAGTTCACCCCTGCAAAGATCCTAAGGGCTATTTCTCAGCCCAACACATCTCAAGAGTAGAATGCAACGGAATGATGAGTTTAGGAAACAAGGCAGTACAAATAGGCAACCCTAACTGTGTTATACTCTCTAAGGAGCAACTCACTACAGCCTATCACAAATATCAACATTTGACACACCCCCATAGGCTAAGTGAGGGGCACCAGAACAAGCAGGGTGAACAAACGGTCACAAGACCAGTCAGCAGGAAGCAAAACAAGCTCAGGGTGGATCTCAAGGACACCACACAAATTCCGAGCGCAAGCAAGCGGCCACAAGGCCAGTTCAAGAGTTCACTAGGATATATATAGGAAAGCACAACAAGCAGAGCAAGCAACAACACTACAGCAACCGAGGGCCTACCTCAACAAGCCCCAACTGCACACAGAACCTGTGGTGGTCACCAAGCGTTAGGGCCTTGGTGAAGACGTCTGCAGTGTTGGCCTCTGAGGCCACAAAGTCCAGGCGTGCCTGGCCGCGTCGCTGCAGCTCTCGCAGGAGGAAGTACCTCACGTCAATATGCTTCACTCTGCTCTCCAGCCGAGGCTCTCGACAGAGGAGGATCATGGCCTTGCTGTCAGCGTACAAGGTCGGTGCAGAGCGAGGCCGCTCACCAAGGTCGGCGAGCAAGAAGGTCAACCAGCGAAGCTCCTGTGCCGCCATGGCACCAGCGTAGATCTCTGCCTCTGCACTGGAAGTAGCCACAGACGACGACCGTGTAGACCTCCACGACACAGCACCAGCTCCCAGACTGAAGCAGTAACACTGAGTCGAGCGCTGAGTCTCCACGTCGTCAGCGTAAGAAGATTCGCAGTGACCAGTCAACGCCACTGGCTGAGTCCCTCCAAGTACAAGCCCCATGCCTGATGTAGTCGCCAGGTACTTCGCCACCCTCACAGCAGCTGTCCAGTGGACAGGACGGTGTCTCCCAGTCGCAACAAAGCGAGAAAGTATGCTGAGGGGAAAGGCGAGGTCCGGCCGAGTATAAGTCATCAGGTACATGAGGCAGCCCACCAGCTCTGCGTAGGGACCACTGGACTCAAATGACTCGTCGGGAAAGGGGTCAGTGAGTCTGTGGTCAACAGCAAGAGGTGTGGGCTGTGTGGTGGAGAACTGGAAGTCGAACTGCCGAAGGACCTGCTGCACCATGTGTGACTGAGTCAGTGTGATGGTGCGAGCGGCTCTGTCCCTGGTGATCTGCAGGCCAAGGTAGCGCTGCAGTTCACCTAGGTCAGTGCACTTGTGTCTCTTCTGCAGTTCGGACTTCACCTGAGCCAGAGCTGCCCTGTCTGCTGTGGCAAAGACCAAGTCGTCGACGTACACTAGTATAAAGAAAGGAGTGGAACCAGTGCGAACAAACAGCGACGGGTCGGCAGAGGAAGGACAAAACCCAAGGTCACGAAGCGTGGAGCGAAGAGTGTCGTGCCACTCACGGGGCGACTGGCGGAGACCGTAGACTGGCCGTCTCAGGCTCCACTGGGTCCCAGGTGGGAAGGTGTCAGTGAAGCCAGGAGGGCGGCGTAGCCAGATCTCCTCGTGTAGTCTGCCCTGGAGAAACGCAGTAGAGAAGTCAAGGGAGTGCAGCTCGTAGTCTCGCTGTGCTGCTACGTGCAGTAACACCCGAAGAGTAGTCATTTTCGGGGTCGGGGCGAAGGTCTGGAAGAAGTCAACTCCCTCACGCTGACTCAAACCCCTAGCAACGTAGCGCGCCTTGAACACAGGCGGTAAACCAGGCGGCCGCTTCACCTTGAAGAGTCACATGCCATCGACTACGTTCGCCCTGGGAGGGGGAACTGCGTCGACGTAGGTGCCTGTGGATCTCCAAGACGTTAAATCCGAGGCCATAGCCGCTTTCCACTGACAGGCCCACGCCCCTGACACTGCCACGCGGTAAGTACGAGGAGTCGGTATGTCAAGGGCGTCGGGGTCTCCCTCAGGGGATAGCAGCATGGCACAGACAGAGGGAGAAGCGGCTGCCCAGTTTTCCAGCTCAGACTCTCTGTCCTCTAGGACGTCACAGCCAAGGGCAAACTCACCCCCGACGGACAGAGGACGGGAGGGAGGAGCTGGCACCACACGGGTGGTGTAGTCAAGGCGACTGGCGGCAGCAAACTCAGCGACAGCGGCAGTCAGAACCGAGACAGACGACGGAGGGAAACGAGAGGTGGTGACAAGAGTGGCGAGGACACGAGAGACAACAGGACGAACAGCGCGGTAGTAGTCAGTGACAGGAGTAGGGGGGAAAGGGAGAGAGGACGGAGGAGGAGACGGGAGAACGGACTCAGGAGGAGGACGACGAAGAGACGAACAAAGGAGGGCAGTGCGGAGGTCGGTAACGGGAGACGAGGGACGAGCACGCGGAGGACAGGGACGCACACGAGAGTGTGGGACACGAGGTGGAGGAGACTGCGGTGGAGGAGAAGACCAGACCGCCGGACTGTCGTCAGGAGGAGGAAACGTGGGACCAAACGCTGGAGGGGTCGGAGTGTGAACAGGAGGAGAGGAGGGAAGACCAAGGGCCCGAAGGCCACTCACGGGTGGGAACAACTGCCGCTCCAGAGGGATCTGCGGTGGTCGCGGCGGCGGCGGTGGTGTCTGCAGCTGCGGCGGCGGCTGCTGCTGCTGCGGCTGCGGCTGCGGCTGCTGCTGCGGTCGCTGCTGCTGCTGCGGTCGCTGCTGCTGCTGCTGCTGCTGCTGCTGCTGCTGCTGCTGCTGCTGCTGCTGCTGCTCCAGCAGGTCCAACTGCCGCAACTCCTGCCGCTCCCTCTCCAACAGCACCTGCTCCTCACGCTCACGCCGACGGGCCACCTGGAGACGCGTGTCGTGGCGGTGGGGAGGCGGAGTGGACTCCGAGAACCAGGGTCTCCAGCCCCAGACTCCTCAGAACCAGCACCTCCAGTGCCAGCGCCTCCAGCACCAGCACCCCCAGAACCAGCACCTCCAGCTCTAGCACACCCAGAACCAGCACCTCCTGTGCCAGGACCTCCAGCTCCAGCACCCCCAGAGCTAGCGCCACCTGCGCCAGCACCTCCAACTCCAGCACCCCCAGAACGAGCACCTCCAGTGCCAGCACCTCCAGCTCCAGCACCCCCAGAGCTAGCGCCACATGCGCCAGCACCCCCAGCTCCAGCACCCCCAGAGCTAGCGCCACCCGCGCCAGCACCTCCAGCTCCAGCACCCCTCGAACGAGCACCCCCAGACCGAGGACCGCCAGCGGCTGCACCTCCAGCTCCCACACCAACCGAGTCCACAGTAACCTGTCGCGGAAGTGCCGAAGGCTGCTGAGGGGACTGTGAGGAGGACTGCGGGGAGGGAGACGCGACCGGACGCGCGACCGAGGGAAGAGGGGTAGCGTGGGATACACCAGACAGGGCAGGACCAGGGGGGGCCAGGGGTACCGGAGGAGCGGGAGCAGGAGGAGGAGAGGGTGCGAGGAAAAGAGGGGGAGGGGGTACCGGGAGACCTCGACAGGGGTACCGGGTGTAGTAAGACACAGACTCATCAAACCGGACGTCACGGGAGTCTAGGAACTGGTGGAGGGGCGGGTGGTAAAAGGACCAGTCAGCAGAGTCCACTGGGAAACCAAGGAAGACACAGGGGACGGCGCGTGCCGAGAGCTTGTCCGCAGAGGTGTCGCGAACAAGCGCAAGGCAGCCCCAGACACGAAAGGTTGACCCAACACCAGGGGAACCGGTCCAAAGACTGGTCGGTGAAGCCTCGGGCCGCGAGACACGCGGCTGGAGGTTCAGCTGGTGTGCGGCGTAGCGAACCGCGTAGGGCCACAGAAAATGGGGCGCACGCGCATGGATCATGGACGTGCGAGCAATGTCCATGACCAAGCCAATGCGGCGCTCAGCAACCCCATTCTGCTGTGGGGACTCCGGAAGCATCCAGGACTGTACAATGCCCTGTTCGCCGCAGAATCCGCCAAGAACGCCGGAGCGAAACTCGCCCCCACGGTCGGAGTTTAGACAAGTGACACGACGACCACGAGTGCCCTCAGTAGCCAGAAGCCACCGGATCAGCGTAGCAGTCACCTCAGACTTCTTCGCGAGAGGGAACACTGTGGTGTACCTGGAGAAGTCGTCGACGACCACCAGAAAGTAACGCTCCCTCCCAGAACCCTGCGTCGGGGCAGGGCCCCAGACGTCCAAGTGGAGGGTCTCGAAGGGAGCAGTGGCCGGACGAAGGGAGGAGGAGTGGGGAGTGGCGAGTAAGCGACCGGCGACGCAAGGAGTGCAAGGGGGAGCAGGGGAGGTGGGGAGCGACGGAAAGGTGCGTGGGAGACCGGTGA